ATTCTAGTAAGAGTTTACTGACTAAACAGCATCGAGAAGCCCTAAGAAAGTTAAGGAACGATGAAAGCATTATAATCAGTAGACCTGATAAAGGAGACGGAGTAGTATTGATGAATAAGTGTGATTATGTAGACAAAATGAATTCGCTTCTAAATGATGAAACGAAGTTCCAAAACCTTATGAACCCAATAGATCTGGACGGAAAGGCTGAAAAGCAGTTAACCAACACGCTTAAGGAACTGAGAAAAAGCGGAATAATCTCAGAGGCAGCATATAACCGTCTTAAACCTACTGGAAGTAATACTTCACGTCTGTACGGTCTGCCCAAAATACATAAACCAGGACTTCCTCTTCGTCCAGTCCTGGATATGTCAAACTCTACCTACCATGGAGTGGCAAAGTGGCTAGGTGAACTCCTCCAACCATTACACAAGTTGGTAGTAAATCATAGTGTTAAAGATGTTTTTGAATTTATTGCTAACGTGGATGATATTAATGTAAATGGAAAGCAAATGCTTTCCCTCGATGTAGCATCACTGTTTACCAATGTACCACTTATGGAGACTGTGGAATTCATATGCCAACAGATACTAGAAAAACAGATCGACATCGGAATACCGGTTAGTAGTCTGAAAGAGTTGCTTTTAAGATGTACTATGAATGTACATTTCATATTTAACAACCTTTACTACAGGCAAATCGACGGTATTGCCATGGGTTCTCCGTTGGGGCCAATTTTAGCAGATTTCTTTCTTGCCAAGATTGAAAATGGTCCATTGAAAAAAGTAATAGAAAAAGCTGATTCTTATTTTCGTTATGTTGATGATACCTTTATTATTCTTGATGTGAAAGCTGACAAGAATGAAATGTTAAAAAAGTTTAACGATGCACATCCATCGCTTATCTTCACTTGTGAAGAAGAATATGATGGTGGACTACATTTTCTTGACGTCCAATTGAGCAGAAGAGAGGATGGTTCACTAAAGAGAGATGTCTATAGAAAACCTACATCTGTAGGACAATATACACATTTCCTCAGTTATGTACCAATCCGTTACAAAATCAATTTGGTCAGATGCCTGACGAATAGAGCAAGACGCATCTGTACAGATGACTCTCTAGAGAATGAGCTAGGATACATCCAAAATACGTTAGTCCAAATGGGTTATCCTAGTAGATTTGTCAGGAGACACATGAATGCGAAGTACAATAAAGAGAAACCGATAACAGTTAAAAAGAAACAACTGTTCATCAAACTGCAATTTAATGGGGACGTGGCTAGTGAAGTCTTACATCAGAGATTATCGAGAGCGATAAAACGGACTTATACTGCCGCCACCCTCTGTTTGTCATTTTCCAGCCGGCCAATTTTGATTGCTCAAGTGAAAGATAAGTTACCGAGTTGTGCCACTTCCATGTGTATTTATAAATTTAGTTGCTCCTGTGGAGAAAGCTATATAGGCCGAACAACTAGGCAGCTTAACAAACGCATTAATGAGCATCTTCCTTCATGGTTCGGAAAAGGTCAAATAAAGTCCATACGAAGTTCTATTTTGGCACATTTGATTGATAGTGGTCACCAAGTGGACAAAAATAGTGCTTTCAAAGTTATTTACCGCATTCCATCAAGCCTTTCGAACGGAATCAGAACCCGACTTTTACACTTAGCCGAAGCTATGGGAATTCGAGAGAACAATCCTAGTCTTTGTATACAAAAGAAATTTGTTCTACCTTTGTCTCTCCCTTGGCCTAGGTGAATTCTATTCAAAACCCTCCCACCCTTTCTTATCATCCCTCTCCTTCGTACTTTTATGATATTTATTTAAACTCTGATTATCGTTCCATTTGATTTGACCTAATTTATTTATTTATTGAATTGTCTACATATATGCATATACTAACTTTGTTATTCTTATCACCTATATAAGCCTTATTAACAATATTTTGTTATTATTATAATCATCGCTATTAACTTCGTTCAAAACATTTACCACATTATTATTACTATTATTATTATTATTTGTATTATTATGATTACTATTATTATTTGATCCACTAAATCACCGTCATTGGTTAAAATTTTATATATATAAGTCTATGTAAATTAGAGTAAAGCCTGAAGAAGATCTAATTGAAAACAATATTGTTCGCTTATATGTCTTGTTCTAACGTCTAATATCACCAGAAGCATTTCATATCAAGTGGAATCCAAACCGGCTGAATAGAAATGATGGACTAAAACAGAATTTAACATGGATACAACACCTCCCTCCCCAGTCAAGTGACAAAATCAACACGAATGTGATAAGCAAGTTCACTATGTAAAGACACACTACTCTCATAATTCTACACACTGATAAAGTCCAACAATCTACACTTGATTTTGTTATCTTTACCAATTTATCAACTCGACAAAAAAAACGACCCAGACTGACGAACGATAATCAAGTATTTCAGAATCTACACTTAGTTTTGTTATCTTTACAAATTCACCAACTTGACAACCAAAAATGACTCCAGACTAATGTACGATGATCAAGTTAGTAAACTTTGTTTTAATATAATAACAGATATACTACTACCTTTGATATTTCGTTTGAGTGATCTTCATTGTTATTTTAACTTTCCATATGTCCTTTTAAAAAAGTCTATATTTTTCTCACCCCCTAACTCTTTGTTATATACATGCCGAGATTTTGTAAATTCCGGTTTAATAATACTTTGATAAAGCTATTAGCATTAAAGAGCGAAACGTCAGTAAAAACAATCTCGTTTTGTTTTTCATTCATTGGGAAATACAAAAAAAACCTTTATTATAATGAATATCACATATCCAATACCCAAATTTTTCAAACCGTTAAAAGTGAACTTGGTTTGGACACATGCAGGTAGGTAGCATGTTTATCCCCTTTGTTTACTCTGGCATACGACAAGGTCATCAGGGATATTTTATGCCTTGTTTATTTCTTTTCACCTAGTTCACTTAACGCCATTATGACGATAATTATTTGGGACTCCTCAGCAGTACGCACTCACCGGGGTTCGAACCCAGGACCTTCTGGTTACAAGGCGAGCTCGTAGACCATTAAGCCACTGGGACCCGATCCAATGGCCACTGCATGAATTCTAACTTCTGCCAATTCATGACATAGCGTGACCACTTCACAATGTCTTCTTTGATGAGTTACTGCCTCATCTTCAACCTGCTGTACCCTACTGGTCATGGCTTCCCACTAGAACCCCAGGTTGATTGCCTGAATAGGGCCAGTCGCTAGTGAGAATCAGATTAATTAATGCTTGAGATAATTATTTGTCGACGTTTATGATTTGCGGCAAGCTTATGATGTCGCTAGTTTTGATTACAGTTCACAATTTCACTTCTTTATTTTATCAGTACACTTGTTATGTGTCAGCCCTCGGACTCAAATTCACTGTTCCTCGTTTGTTTGTATTTTTCTTAAAGATTCTGTGGTAATCATATTTCCCTCACACCACTGAATATAACTCACTAGTCCTACCACCACCCCGGTGACCGTAAGTGCATTAATATTTCACCCAGTTATTTATTCAGGCTTTCTCTTATATTCCGAATGATTAGACATTTTATATACATTAACTCATACCCCTGGGATCTAATGATATATTTTATTAACCACATTAATTCAAATGCCTATGACTAATATTTCAGAGCGTATTTCTAAATGGCTTCAGAAGCAAACAGAATCCCTGGACCCATTAATAGTGAGAACAGGATACCTAGCTCCCCTGTTGAGAAACAGGACATAAAATTCATGTTTAATAACACTACTACTAATAATAATGAATTCTTTTACGTTTCCAATGAAAAATCAGTCTTCAAGATTGAGCTTTGAACTTTGAGTAGCAATGGTTACATTTGTACGGGGTAGGGATGCTAGTCCCACATCCCACCTTCTCTCTTTACCAGCTCACTGAAGTTTTGGAGTGCGTCGACCGGGGACTGAACCCCTGAATACGTGTGGCGTGGTTGGTGAGTGTTCTATTAGTGAACTACCGACGCCTCTGCGCTTAATAATTCTGAGTAATTTCAAAATAGTGTTTGGCGAACAAAGAATATTCATCATGGCAACTTCATCAACAGTTAGAGAATAAGTGAAATTAACCACATTAATGCTTTCTAAAGTAACATAGAATCTCGCAGATATAGATTTTTGGGCACCTGCTCAACAATCCTTGTACATGACCATCTCTCAGTCCTTCCCACCTGGATTCATAAACACTGTTAGAGTCAACAAGGGCGGAAAGCTGATTTAGTTTGGATTGTGTAATTGAATGACGTATCCAAACTCCAAACATGTCTTCCTGTACACAACACACTATTGAATTAAAGACGGTCATGTAGAGGGATTGTTAAACATGTACCCACGAGTCTAAGTCTTAAGGACTCAACAGAATTTAACAGCACCATAGCTCAGCACCTGACTGACACAAGATACCAAAATTAACACAAAACCATTGACGTCAAAATTCCGAAAGGTGCAAACTTTTAATGGAATGTTTTTAGCTTGGGTTTGATGTTTTTTCTTCAAACATCAAATTGACAAATTTAAACTCATTTTACAAAAAAAGAAACAATCTGATTTTTAGTTTTATAGGAATTAGGATTAATTTCGGATCAGATTTCGCCACCAACAACACATCAAATCTATAATCATTGTAAACCAGGGACTGCCATACAGCTCTGTCTTCCCCTAGTTTGGAACCCCTCATCAGTTCACACACATTGACTCATAAGTTGAAATAAACAGATCGCTCATTTTGGATGCAGAGGTTGTCTAGTTATTGATCTGAAGTCGTTACCTGAAGATCCTACGTTTTATCTTTGGTGGTGTCACTGATGTGTACCGTTGAAGATGAAACAACTGCCCCTTGCCTCTTACTTTCATATGACTTTCAAAACAAAATTAGTTCAAGACGAAGTCTATATTACTAAAGAAACATACACAAATCCTAAAACTTACCGTTCCATTTCTAATCGTTTTGCTTCAGCTTCTTGTTCTTCACGGAATTGTTCTTCTTGTATACGTTTTTGTTCCAATTGGATTTGACGTTTTTCACGACGTATTTTCAATTGAAAGTCAAATATCTGTTTACGTTCACTATCTGACAGTGCTGCATACTCATAATCGGTTATATCATCTAATTTCTTGTAATACTCCCTTGTTGATATCAACTGATTTTCATTCATCTCTGCTTGTATTTCTAACAAACATTGTTATACTTTTCATAGTCAGATTTTATGCTTATTGTATAAATGTACTTGCAATCTTTCAGACATTTCAATAATATTTCTATAGTAGATAATGAATTCTTTGTAAAGTCTGATTCCAGTCCATCAATGATAATATTTTTATGATCCAAGCAATCCGATTGCTTGAAACGTTCTTTAATCAAATGTAGGATAATATCATCAGGTAAGATTGTTGTATACAGTTGGTCAGTTGGTGGTATTACCAATGTTGGTGTTTTGTTATTATTGTCGTTCATTGAATTTGCACACGATTTAATTTGTCCACTGAATATTGAAAAATTGATACATTTTGACTTGAACATTGAATTTGACCTTGGACTTACTGGTAACTTTTGATGATGACGGTGATGATGAATATGATGAAGAAAACAGGTGAATACATCAAAGTTGGTAAAGAATCAAAGAATTCAAATGAATTAAAAAATGATATATTTTAACAATCATGGATTAGTTACAGGATTTCATCGTGAACTGACATTAGTTAGAGAACCATTGAAAAACCACCAGGGAGTACTGGACAGGTGTTTCATCCTATTTCGGAACTCTTCATTAATACGCACCCACTGGGGTTTGAACCCAAGACCTTCTGGTCACAAGGCGAGCTCGTAGACCATTAAGCCACTGGGACCCGATCAAATGGCCTATGAATTCTAACATCTGCCAATTTACGACAGAGCTTAATGGTTTGGGCCCGAACCCTGCGATGATTGCGTACGGCTAGAGATTCACACACTAGGACGAAACAACCATCAAGTACTCCGAGGTTTCCCAAAGGTCCTCTGACCGGTATCATTTCATGATGAAATCCTTTGACCAACAATGATAATATATATATATATATACCAGATATCAGTTGGTAGGAATAATGATAACAGTACACTGGTGCGTTGATACTCCTGAATCATTATACTTTAACTTGGCCTTCTGTGGTTCCTTAAATGATATTTGACCCAATCGACATTACAAAGGACATCAAAAAAGTTGTCCAGAAATCTAGGGTGATGTATATTAGTGATTGTTATACAAAAAAACTGTGGGATTGTTATATATGTCGAATACCATCTGCGTCAGCTTATAGTGCTTGCAAGCTACAGTGAATATTGATACATTGTTCCTACCGTTTGTATAAGAATTTATCAACCATATACTCTAATGGATTAATTTAAACGAATGAAGTATTTTAAAGAAGTAACCCATGAACGTGATCCACAGGGTAAGCACCGTCTCACACTTTCAATCTACTTATCATTGAAGAGTAATTCGACACAGTTAACATGAAATATAGTGTTGTCAGACACTGGGTATCACTAATTGTCATCATTACACTTCATTTTACGATTTTCTTATTATTTTACATAATATCTCGGTCATTTCTGTAAATCAACCCAACACAGTTTCTAACAACGACGTACACATAGATGGAATTATTACGTACAGACAATTAATGCTTGCTTACCAGATAAAAATGACTCAAGGATTAGCAGCTCCAATCTGTAGTGTACTAGAGTACTCATACGTATATAATGGAGTCTTTTAAACTATGATATCTTTGAATTTTTGTATGTGTTACACTGTTTAAAGTGTGAAATTACTTTCATATAAGTAAATCATACTAATTATTTAATTCAATTTGGATCTTCCCATTTATTGATTTGATCAAAGTGCTCCACTCCCTTCCCTGTACAGTTGCTTCAACGATGTCTGGTAATTTAATTTGAAGTAAACTAGTGGATGGTGACAAGCAGTGGAATCCAGGATGCGCATTTCGTCCTACTTGGGGCTTGTCATCTCGAGGTACCTGTAGTCCCCAGTGAGTGCTTATTATTTTTTATTTTATTTTCATAATAGCTTGATTTTACACAGTAATTTTGGTACAACCATGGAATTTTCAGCATATGATATCGGTGGCCCCAATCTAGCAGGTCGTCCATTGATAACAGGTGTGTGTCCGGCCGGGGATCGAACCTCAGGCCATGTGCATTGCTGGTGAGCATCCTAACCGCTGATGGTGTTCCCATTAAAATCCAAGCTCAGTACCAAAGGTTTAAAATTCCATAGCGTTATCCACTAGACTACTTGGGACTCTAGAGTCAACTATTTCTTGTGCCACGGGTGTCAGTAATTACCTAATTAAATTTGCATTATCCCGTTGATTGAGTGGACCAAAGCGTTCGGCCTCAGGTTGACATATCATGCTAACATTAAACTAGCTTTTCCGATAAGTAAACAGACCTACTGTTTTTAAATAATAATAATAATAATAACGACAAGAACAAGAAAGCATAAAAGCAACTTACTGTGTCATTAATCTTTCCAGGTTCATTTGATGTACGACGATGGGCTAAATTTTTATTACCAGTTACACCAAGTCGATTTAATGGTTTGTTTTGACTAATCACTGTTGTTTAATTAAACGATATTAAATCAAGAGGGAAAATTGATTACAGTTCACTAAAGACGTATAAATTATAATATAAGCATACAAGTATAATAGCAAATAGAATATCAAATAAATCAAGGAAATTTCCACAAAAATTGAGGATCATTCAAACTCAGATGGCCAAGGTAAGAATTATGTCTGAACTAGCTACTTCTTTTGGACACATAAATTAGGCTTCTTAATGTGGGTTCCAACAGTCAGCCTCAGCAATATTTAGTAATCGAACTCGTAAGGTGAATTTAAGATTTGTTATTATGTGGTAAATTACTCTGAGAGCCTCGTTGATATCAATCTTGTGTTCCCTATCCACAAGATGAGATAAAATATCGATACGAATAGATTTTGTTTCTTCTTTACTTAACCATGCAAGGTGAGGTACGGAAATCCGACGAGAGACACGCCTAATTGTAGGGCGTATGTAACTGGCTCCACAGGAGCAGTTAAACTGGTAGATACACAGAGAAGAGGCGAAATTAGGCGGTTTATCTTTTACTTCCAAACGCCAAAGAGCAGTGGTTTTGAAGACACAGAGTGATTCGGCAGCAGGGAATGCTCTCTTGACAGCATTTCTAGGGCGTTGTGTTAGTACTTCACCGATGATGTCTCCGAGGAACTGCATTTGTAAGAATAAGGCCTTTTTATACCTTGGACTGCTTTGATTTTACATTCATATTCTTATCAATAAACTTTTCCGGATAACTGTTTCAACTCAGCAACTGTTTAATATTATTAAGTTCCTCATCAAGACATTCCTTTTACTTTCAAGACATTCTCACTTTAAAAATCGACATTATTTAAAAGCACTAATATTGTTATTGACTACTATTCTAGAATATTCTATGCATACAAATATATATATATATATAATTTTAGAGCCAGAAGAGGAAATTATCGAAAAGGTTATTCTTTGCTCAATTTATTTTGTGTTTTATAGATGTCTGAATGAATATTTTCGCGATATCTATAACAGACAAAACTCAGTTCTGCGATTGATGAAACAAAGGCAAGAAACCTGATGCGGCTACGGCCAGCAAGAAGCCGGTTTTCATTGAACGTGACTTCAAAGGCGATGATATTATGAGAATCATAAATAAAGGATTAAAACCGGTCTAGGATTTATCCTGCAAGAAAAGTAGTCTATCTGCTCCGAATATCATCCTCATTGGCGCTGCCAAAGATTAACAAGTTCCCTTCATATGTTACCTTCAACTATGTACACTAGTTCTTATTTATCTCCGAGAGCAGCTCAACTGGAAAACAGAAAGAAGGTCTGACGTCAGATTCTTCGAATATGTGTCAAAAAGCTTCTCGTTAAACGGGGGTGGTAAACTGTTTAAGCTCTTTAATCACCAAATACCTGATAGGCAGAGGATAACAGTTAAACCTGTTGGCATCATTCAAAATAATTAACAGAAAAAATAACTGTAGTCTTCCTCAGTTTGCTTAAGCTACCTCAATAAAACTGTGGCAACCTGACGTGTATCCAAAAGGAGTCTGTCGTTGGACTTCACTTACCCTAGTGATTCATCCTTTAACAAGCGTTTGTTTTCCAGTTCCATTAAATTGTTTTTTTAATTTAATTTTTTAATTTTTGATTTTAATTTTTGATTTACAGCTTGATTCCACACTGTATTTTTGGTACAAGTATGGAATTTTCAGCATGGATATCCTATTCTATAAACGATAATAATATTTCACCTTATTTCATCATCATCATATTTTAATTGACGTCTTGCCCATGAACTGGACAATTTACACATTTTCACAGCGTCGTTCCTCTCAAGTACAAAAGAAATTTAGTAAAGACCCTAAGCCATAGGGTTACACGTACATGATCAGAAGAGGTAATAAAAGATGAAGTAGGGATTATATATGATACATTGATTGAAAAAAGCTATCCAAACAGATATATCAAGAAACACATGACAAAGAAAGCGAAAAAGGACAGTTCTCCATCTGTAAAAAAGAAGCTTTCATATATACGACTACAGATCAAGGGTAATGCCCCCAGTGAAATAACTATTATTATTATATTATTAAGTTGAGAAAATCCATCCAAAAAACTCTGAATGCTTGCTAACTACAAGTCAAATTTTCTAAGCCACGACTCGTTGTGATTCCTTAATTGGAAGATGAAGTAAGTAGACTAACCACTACCTATTGTATCTACCAATTTAACTGCGCTTGTGGAGCTAGTTATATTAGCCGTCGCTCTAGGAACTTGATTTTTCGTGCTCCAGAACATCTTTCAGTTTGGCTAATTAAATGTGTATTAAAAACTATCAAGAGCTCATTATTAGACCATCTGGTCCAAACTGGCCACAAAGCCAGCCAGCACTTACTGGGTACCAAATAAATTTTCAGAAACACCCAAGTACCCCATACTCCAAACATCAGAGGCTATTGTGGTTTGTGTGAAACAACCAGTGCTTTGTGTGCAAAAGAAGCAAGTTTAACCATTGCGAATGCCCTGGCCCTCTGTGGAAACTATAAATTCATGAATTTGTATTATTATCTTTCCTAATTTTTCAGATGTTCAGTAAATTTTTATGTTGATGCTGACGATGCTGTAATCCATTGACATTATTATTGATTTGATGTTATTTAAACAATAGTTTCGTTAAAAACATTAATTCATTTGATGGTTGGCGGGGACTGGCAGGGAACTTTGACTGACTGAATTCAGTCTGCACCAAAGATAGGACTAGACAAATTACACTAGTTAAATACTAGTGTCTAATCAAAAATACTAGTTCATTCACTATTTTGTATGTATAACTGTAGAACTTGTTGGTGAAGTTATCAAAAGGAATATTCCTTGTTCAGTAATCATTCTTTCGAAAAACAATTTTATTGGGCATTTTTAATAATTTAAAATTCAAGGGAATTAGGTGGGCTCTAATCCCGCGTGAGGATCTATTATAAAATCTCCCTTCCTGCCATATTTCTGACTGGAATCGATGTTCAATGGTGTCTATCATCTTACTACCCTAAGTATTTTCAAACATAGTCTTTATCCATGTAATATCATTTATTAAGAAGAACATTAAGATTTGCCATGCGTAACTACCTCATGTCTATTGGGTTTCATAATTTCATCGGTCAAAGTGTACTCCCAACCTAACGGTAATACTCCATACTTTATTATTTCGTACCATATTTCTCCACCTGATTATAAACATAAAATATACTCAGAATGGTAATAATACCGGACTCAGCACCCGTTATTTTAACCAGTCTTACGTTTACGAATGATACACCTATTGACTGGGCATTTATACACTGCTAATCAAAAGGACCGAACACACCTATACCTGCCTCCTGAGAGACGATACCGGCATGCAGTATCATCCTGTTGCTCAACTCCTCGAGAGTCCTCTCTCTCATTGGGCCAAAACCTGGGAGTAATAGATAGATGTTTCTCCATAGTTTGGGACTCTGTAGCAGTACTCTCCCACCGGGGTTCGAACCCAAGTCCTTCTGGTTACTAGATGAGTTGATAGACCATTCAGCCACCGGAACCTCTAAACATTATCAGGGTGAGGTGCATGCGTACAGCATATAGTCTTCTTCAAACCTTGTACACAATCATTAGGTAGCGTACTATCCTATCGCACTTTACTGATCTGGCAGTGATAGTCACAAAAACAACGTAACAGCATGTGACGAACTAGGCACATGGCTCTAGAATGAAACCTTATTTTCCACGTAAGGGGTATAAAATCAAATAGAATACGCTTAAAAAAGAAAGGGGAATTAGACATAATTTTTACATTCTTTAACTCTTAGCAATTTCATACTAACATTTCGACAAAGTTCATCATACTGTAGTGGTTTCATTGTCTTGCTATAAGTTTGCCGATTAAAGTTTGTCGACCGATCAAGTATGGTAGTCACTTAACCAAATGAAATAACTGTGGTTCAACTAGGTATGAGAAGACTCCTTTTATGACTTCATTCACGTTAATATCTAAACTACTTAATAAAAAGTCATACTGAGGCGGTGTGATACACACAATGAGCTTCAACGGAATGTTTTTCTCATAGTAAGAATCATTGTATTTGTTAGTGTTAACGTCTGAATACTATTCCCACAGTTCAGTAGGCATTAGCAAAGGAATAATAAACGTATTTCTGTGGTGAACGCTGTCTGTAAGCCAAAATTCTAAACAACAATTTACGTCAGTGTTTTCGTCTCAAATCGAGGTAACGAGAAAAACAAGAACAAAGCCTAACCTTGAGGAACCCAACAACCAGTCACGGCAGACATAACGTGGGCGGATACGATTCGCAGATATATGGCTTAATTTTCTCAGAAACGGTCAAAAGTAGTACAGAATAACTTTTAACAAGGAAATAACAAATCAGAAGACGTCACTCCTTTGCCAACAATAACGCCAATAATAATAATGTACATAAAAATCTACAAATATTTAAGTATTGGTTTGTAGGGATTTGGTTGATTGGTTACAGGATTTCATCATGAGCTGACATTGTTTAGAGAACCATTGGAAAACCTGGGAGTACTAGACAACTGTTTCGCCCCAGTTTGGGACTCTTCAGCAATACACATCCACCGGGATTCTAACCCAGGACCTCCTGGTTACAAGCCGAGATCATAGACTATTCACTTACTGGGACCTGATTCAATGGCTAGCTCATGAATTTCAGCTTCTGCCAATTTACGCTATAGTACAACTGCTCGCCAATGTCTTCGGTGACTATTTGTCCTCACACCCTACCTGCTGCACCCTACTGGTCACGACTTCTCACAAGGACCCCAGGTAACTACTATCTGAATAGGGCCATTCAAACTAGGACGAAACAGCTGTCCAGTACTCCCAAGTTTTCCAATGGTTCTCTAAACAATGTCAGGTAATGATGAAATCCTGTTACCCATTAATATTTGTTGATTTTCTCAATAAATGATCCGTTGCCTGGCCCTTGTCTTCTGTCGTTACATTTGTACATTCTATTTCATTTCGGTTAATGTAAACCAAAATCATATAGTCAGTAATTGGTTAATAAATATAAACTGTACAGATATAAATAGCGGTTTAGTCACTTCAAAATATACCTTGACCTCTTTGTCTTGCCTTCAGCTGTTAAAATATGTGCAGCACTCAGGATAACATTATATGAATCAATATTTTTCTTAACTCGTATATTCGATACGTTGTCATTATTGTTGTATTATTCAAAGAGTTAGCACGATATGCTTATTAAGTATTACATGCATATTCAGGTCAATTGATAAATAACTAACCTTCATGAATTGTATCATCCTTTGTGATATCACTACGTAATTCTTTCGGGGAATCTGGCTTTAATTCAGCATCTGATAACTGTAACTGTAACTGTTGCTGTTGTTGTAGTTGTAATTGCCGCTGTTCTTCTTGTTCTTTTTCTTGTTGTTCTTTTTGTTTTTCAAGTAATTTTGTTTGAATTATCTGTTCACCAACATCTAGACAGATTTGTCTTGCTTGACAAGCTGTATCACTTGTACTTGTCAATAAAGCTTCAATAATAATTTGATTGATATTTAATACAATTGCATTGTATTGCTTAGCCAAACGATTGATAACATCTAAGGTGATAGATAATTTAGCAGTAATATTTATAATTAGAAGTGTTTTAAAGTTCAAAGGTTAAGTAAGATTTTGCGTGAAAAGCTGATTGATTTTGAAGTGGGATTTGAGACTAACTGATGTTTGTTTTAGGGCTCTTTGGAAGCACACACTCATGATCCTACAAGGGATCAGGGTGCGTTGTTGGATTTTGAAGAGTTCACTCTCATGCACTGCTTATTTGCCTGACTAACTGGCGATAGGTGATCAACTTTGGGATCCATTAAGCTGATTGTTAGGATATTACCTAACCCGTGATATTGCATGACAACAGAGATTACTTTAGGAAAGTTGAATTATAGGTTCACTGATCACTGGCTTTCAACTTATAAGTCGTAGGATTACGTCTTCTTTTACTGATCTGAAAGTCCTCAGTTGAATCACTGAAATAGGGTTGCTTCCTGACTTCTGAGTAGTCCGAAACTACTATCAAAACAAAACTGGCTACATACTAATTCCTAATAAATAGGCTACAGATTGTGGTGACAGCAGGCAGTGAGAAAATATGAGCAAGGCTGATTCAACAACCAATCACAGCAAAGTTAACGTGGCAAAATATGATTCGCAGATAGAGAACTCTATTTGTCGAGGAATCCCGAAACAACCAATCAGAAGCCTGCGTTTGTCTGCCTAACTTCTGATAAACAACCAATCAGATAACTGCGCTTGTCTACTTGCATAAGCTATAATAATGTATGTGAAATATGTATAAATACGTGTTGATTTTCATAATAAAACGATCTGTTGCCTGGCCCTTGTCTTTTGTTGTTACAAGATGACTGAAGACTCCTGGAATAAGGCGTTGGCATTATATATTAAGAAGCTTTACTTCAGAGTTTATTCGTCCTTGGGGAAAATTCCTCATTAAATTAATGACGGCAATTTGCAAAACTATGGCTACTCTAATACAATGTCTTTCACTAGTTACACATGTGTAGAGTTTATTTGTCACCACTTTCCATGCCTATTTAAAAAGAATTGACATAAGAATAAATCTTGTGCACTGTGATAGAGTATAATTCCATTATAGGTAAAATTTATTTTGATAAAGTCTCTCATAATGTTTGCTATACAGTAATATTTACTGATGCCACCACGTTTCGAGCACAATTTACCTCTACTCATAATCATATCAAGGCGCTCACTCACACAACTTTCTTATTTCGTATATATAATTCGATTATATTTCATCTCTTGACTTGATTGGTAGTAGTATTTCCCAAATTTCGGGTATGAGTGATGAGTCATTTCTATTCCATGTTTTATGTTGGGTGTAGACTCGATGAACCTGGCAGGATTCAGTAATCAATCTCTCTCTCTATCTCCACCTACTTATATCACTTCTTAAAATGTTGACTTTGTACCACCCACCCTATTGTGTGGTTGTGGGCTATTGCATGCAGTTCAATCGCTGAGCTATGCTAGATGGCAAAATAAAACAAATAGAAGAAGGTAAACTGCACACCGGTGTTCATAAAAAGCAATACCAACGCATTCTAATACACATTTAGACTTTCATTCATCTCATCCGTTTTCTGTAAGAGTAGGCTTAGTTAAAAGTCTAACAAACCGAGCAGTAGCTTTAAGTAGTACAAGAAAAGACCTAAATGATGAAATAAAACAGATAGAAGAAGAAGCGTTGGTATCAAATAACTATCCTATAAAATTCATTAGGAAGGTCAGTAAAGGTCAAAAGCAAAATTAATATAATCGTGAAACCAATACTGATAATATAGATAGGAGAGAATACAAGGCATCTATAGTTTTACCATATGAGGAGGGGACATCTGAGACCATACATAAGATTCCTAATAAAGCAGAAATTAGGGCGGCATTTAAACCTACAAACTCACTCAGGCAGGGACAAGCTCTGTAGGTTAAATGACCCTGCCGGTTGACCTGATTTGACAAAATAAGATAATTTACAAAATACCCTGCAATGACTCTAAGTTAGGTCAATTGTATAGGTCAAACTAGTAGATCAGGGGTAGTGAGACTATCTGAACATAAGAATTTATCTAAGGTAAGAATGATTGACCCGATCCCCGAAGGTAAGTAACTTAGAAACAAACTCAGCAATCGCACATCATGCATTAACACACAACCACACAGTAGGGTGGGTGGGACAAAGTCAAAATTCTAAAGAGTAATATAGGTAGGTGGAGACAGAGAGAGGTTGATTACTGAATCCTGCCTGGATCATAGAGTCTACACCGAACCCATGCAATTGGAATGATTCACTCATACCCGAAATTTGGGAAATACTACTACCAACGAAGTCAAGAGATGAAATATAATCGAATTATATAAACGAAGTTAGAAAGTTGTGTGAGAGAGTACCTTGATAAGATTATGAGCGGCAATAAATTGCGCTCGAAACGTCATCATCAGTAAATGTTAATTGCTGTTTAACACTGTGAGACATTATCAAAATAAATTTTACCCATAATGAAAAACGAATTGACGTCCGGAAGAATTAGAATTTAAAGTGATGGGTTGCGGTCATCACGCAAAAAAATAACTTGTAAATATTGAAGTCACTTAAACATTCTAGGCGCCAAAATGTCATAAAATAATCCATTGAACTCATTTTAAGCTATCCGTTTCTCTTGATAACCAGCGGTAATACATCCCCTATTTGAAGCGAAACTCATCTTCTTACAGTTACCTTACATTTCCCGCTTTCTATCCTCATGAGTATTCTTGGAAGTCTGGACTGATGAACCTTTGTGTGAATTTCTACTTACTTCATTCAGAGCCTTTCAGCTCCCAGAATCAAGACCAATATATAATAGTCGTGATTATGCACATACATGTACTTGTAAACATTTCAACATTCAATGTTCTATGGTTCAATAATTTACTTACTTTGTCTAATAGACTCTAATGCTCCATTGACTAGAATTGCGATGCCCAATTGATCTGATTTACATGCTTCTTGATGGGAATCCATACCTAAATATCTTGATAAAGCCAATGATACAGGTGTAACATCCAAAGTTTGTTTTCCACTAGTGAAAATATTTAAATTTGATAGTTTACTATCTTCACGTTTAATATTATCAAGAAAGAGATCAGACATCGTACTACGACTATCAGGTTTGTTACGATCAGATTCACTAGTTGAAGTGTTGTTTGTTGTTGTTGTTGTGGTGGTGGTGGTAGTGTTAGACTTCTTTGTTTCCTTCCATGATGATGGTGAAACTTCAGAGAACTGAAAAAGAAACTTTTTATGAGTTTTTTTCGGTAGGGATTAGATTTGTTTCAATTTTGACCACAAATTGATATCAACTAGAGAACCACTGAAAACCAGGAGAGAGTTTCCTGAAGTTCTAGTGAGAAGTCGCGGATGGCACTGGCTGGTGTCGATCTTGTTAAAACTACGAATTGGTAGAAGTTAGAATTCATGGGCTGGCTACTAAATTGGGTCCCAGTGGCTGGCTGGTCTACGAGATAGCTCACCTTGTAACCAGGAGGTCCTGGTTTCAAACACTGGTGGTGGGTGCGTACTACTGAAGAGTCTTGAGCTTGGTTGAAACTGATGGCTGTCCATTACCGCTAGGGTTTCCAATCATCCTCTAACTGATATCAATAAGTGATCAAACTTGGTACAGAAAAACATTAAGAAAATGTAGGATTTATTAAACGAGATGTGATTATTATCAGTTTCCATATGTCACTAGTAACGCTACTCACAAGTAGCATATGTAAACAGTCACGCTTCTTTTCAATTCTGATTTCTAGTACTGTTGAGAAAAATCTCAGAAAAGTTGTTATTCTAGATTTCCTTTTTGGTTCAAGAAGAAAATGGGACTTCGCCAGCAAATCACCGTTACAACCTGTTTCCTCCAGTCTTTTTTGCTGAGTCTGGGATTGCCCAAAGGTCTTAATTTGTTCCTTAAATGCGATCCCACTTACGTCACCCTCAGAGGCTCAAATTATCGCTTCCCCGTTCGGAATCTACTGGAGGTTCTGTCATATAGTAGCACTGAGAGTATTTCCAGACCATCTCCACCTCCTGAATATTCATTGGGCACTCAGTTGCTGGTTGGTTTGTTGCCTTCCGGAGATCCTTGTTACTTATTCATGCAGGCTAACTTATTTTCAGTAGTAAGCGAAAGGGGGAGATGCTGATGGTAGTCTCCTTTAGCATGTCGGAAATGCTTTTGGTAATGCATCTGCCAAATCGATGAACCATATAGAAGCACTGACTAGACAAAAAATTCGTACTGAAAGTTTGAATCCTATTCCTATTACCGAGTGCTACAGATCTTTACAATGATTTCAGAATATCAAAAGTTCATCTTGCCTTTCCGATTATGGATTTGACAGTATTATTCGTCTTGTCTGTAGCTAAAATGATGTTAGTCAGCCACGCAATTGAAAGAGGTGACTCCTTTTAGATTTTCCACGCTGACAGTGATTTATGCTATTGCTGGTCAGATATTTTTATCACATTTATCCTCTTTATGTTCATTCACTTAAAGTTCTGTCTTTGTCTTCTCCTCTCCAAAGTTGTTGGTCTTCACTTCTAGATCTCGTAGGTCATGTGACACTAGACATAACCATCGGCGAAGTTTAGATCTATTACAGGTTTTGTCGGTCGAACCTATGTTTGACTTCTCGTTCGCCGCAGTTTGCAGCATGATCTGGTTGACCACAATCGGAAATATCATCAACGCCATTAGGAGGGGTTGTCCTACCCTTGTCATCTCTTTAGTGGATTTGCTGAGTTTTCCGTCATGAATCACGTGGCATTCACCCACGAAATACCTCACAGATACTTTGCTGACTTTGTAATACATATATGAACAGTTTCGATAGTCAGCTGGCCAAGAAGGAATTCACAAGTTATTGACAATAGTACATTTTATTTCAAACTCGCGCTTACCAAATAAGCTGATGCCTATGGAATCTATTTGGGTTGAGAGAACGTGATCAGGCACTGCTAACCAGCGTCATATAACGAAAAGGCAACTGTCAGCATTTTTTCTAAATAGTGCTTACATAATGCACAGAATTTTCACTTGCGTTTACCACATGGTATTTTCTATTCGTCCAGGAACTTAAGATAAAAGATTGTTTGGCAACAGTTCGTGGGACACAGTTCTATCTTATCTGAAGAGCAAACCAATCCATTATGATTTCACTTTTTTGTCTTTTTTAAAAAATACACGATATTATAGAAAGTTCAGAGGTACATTTTGTGAACCAAGGATACCACTGACGAATGGTCATCTGATGTATTAGAATAAGCTGCTTTTGAGGATAATGCTTTTTCAGATATTTAGCAGAAACTTGAGAATCAGTAGGTGGTAGGTGTATTAAATGGTTGGAGGTAATCGGCCACAGGAAGCCTTGTATCTGAGCTTCGTGCTAGTTGGCACTCACCAGTCACCAAGGGGTATCTGCATCTCTGAAGGAACTCGGGTTCCTTGCTGAGATTCGAACCCGCATCATCCAGTTCTGCAGTCAGAGACGTTACCACTAAGCTACTCGGGCTTGCGGTCCACCTTCCGTAGAACTGCAGTGGATACTTCGATTGGACGCTAATAACTAGTTTGATATGTCTAGTCTTCTGTTTGGTGTAGCCTGAATTCTATCAGTCGGGTTTGCAATGTGGCCACCTGCCGATTGCCTCCAACAATCTAATATCGTCAAATCAACGTACACCATGATGGCAAACTACCTAGAATTTGATTTGATTTGATTTTTGATTACAGCTTGATTCCACACCGTATTTTTGGTACAAGTATGGAATTTTCAGCGTGGTAGACACATTGCAAACCTGACTGACAGAGTTCAATCTGCACCAAACAAAGGACTAGACACGTCGCACTGGTTACTAGTGTTCATTCAGGTTGTTGGTGTTTTAAATATTCGCCAGAGGAAACAAGACTATTGGAAGTCATATTTTACACGATTTAAACAAATTGAATAACAAAAATCATACACAATATACTGATGGAGGTTTTTGGTAGCCTAAGATTTAGGCATGCCTCCATGAAGTCAAAATTGATGGCTAAATAACGTCAGTACATGAATGCATACAAATAATAATCGAAAGATATTTGATCAAAAAAAAAGATTGCCAGCAGTCGACTTACTTTTATCTCCTTTATATTTTTTTCATCAGCAACATTTTCCACTGGAGTATTATCTTCCAATTCTTCAGATAATTTAGAATTAGACAGTTTAATTTGTTCCTCATAATAGGCAATAAGCTCTGTAGGTAATGGATCACCTGGTTTTCTTGGCGGTAATAATAAATTCCCGTATTCATCATAACCATTCAATGATCTTAATATTTCATCCTCCTGGATTTTTAGAAAACAAACAACACAAAGAAGCAATTTTCTTTTAGAAGGTTAATATACACACTTAGTAAATGCACCGTTTCAGTGTACCTGTGGCCACATATACATAGGGAGGACTTATCAGTCTCTGAAAGTAACGGTTTCAAGGCATATTCCTTACTATCTTCAGAAGCAAATGAAATCCTCAGAACCCATTATTAGTGAGAAAAGATGAAATAGCTCTTCTGTAGGGAAACATGCTACAGAGTCAGGAAATAAAGTAGATGTTTACACGTCTTGTAAACCTATCTACATAATGTATTTGTGGGAGGGCGTATCCTAAGGTTTGTGGAAGCACTAGCTGGTAATTAGAAAGTTTAAACCCCGTTTATGTGTCACCACATTTAATCTTTCTTGGTAAATAATATTAGCCATTTGCTTTATTCTAATCCAAATAGGAGAGGATAAAATAGCCAATTATTTTGCTAACAACATAGTAAGTTGTAGGTGTCGTACTTAAAATTATCTCTATCAAATAAGACGCGGGATGGATATGGCATCCTTGGGATTTTGTCCTTAATTGTACGAGCATATAATCCTTTATAATGACTTCTTGTCCCACCTGTTGATGTGTTGGAAGAGGAAAGTTGTGCATAGAGAGGATGAGGTGTTCAGAGTCAGACAATATGGATTTGAACCATTTCTCTCTCGCATAAGTGTGGATGTCTGTCAACTACAGTAGTAACGAGCTGATTTTATCGCACACCACTTGCCTTGCTGATAACTTCGACCGACGCATAACCTCAATATTACTCACCACATCATACCGCTTAACACAAGTGATAGAATGCAGAAAATTATGATCAAAAAGAGCCAGTAGGACTTCCAATGCCTTCCCAGATAAAAATAAGTAAGTAGTCAACAGTCTCCATCACTTCACTCCTGACTATCTTTAAAATAGGAGTCAGTCGACGTGCTTCAATCATGTATCACTGTCTTACATCTGATAAGAGTGAATCTCTTGTCTTAAGTAACCCCCCCCTGAACAACTTTCTGTAGTTTGCAGCAATAGGCACCATAACCTAAATATTCCCATCATGATGGTCAGTATTCGTTCAAACCAAACTGCGGGACTTAAATAAGGAAAAAAACACTGCTGATTAATTCTGTTATCAATCATTATGATTCAGATTAAAAACAGTAAATCTGGAGAGGCCCTTGAGCGACATCAAGCGCAAGCCAAGATCTGTAGCGGAACCTAAATAGGAAAAGACGAGTTACGTTTAAATCCAAGGGTCATATGGAAGAGATCATATAGAGGGGAGGGGAAAGAAAGTTTTCAAGAAACCGTGCAGCCAGCTAAACACAACTGCAGAGAACGAAGTGAAACGGAGATGGGCTACTGAGACCCACTGTTTCGCTTGGAACCTAAGAGAATAATAATAATAATTATTAATATATATACCACTTGTTGTGTCTAATCTCCCAAATAGGCTCACGTAGTAATCGTCATCTAAAAACAAATGTCAAACGTTTTTAGGTGGCCAAAGATGGTCAACAGAAAGACCTACACTCAGCCTCCATACTTTTTATACTTGTTAGAGAATCCTGAATGAATGGTAACACCTATGAATGCGGCACTGAATGAAGCAGATTTACATCTCAGATAGGACATCACTTCATCCAAAGTTGAAGATATACCATGCTGATGAGTTCGGATAAGTACGAAACATGGCTTTAAGAACTTCTGCCAATTATGTAGTGCGATTATGGCATTACAATGTTAACTGACTGAATCAACTCTGTACCAGCCCTTGAAACATGTTCACTTACCAGTAAAACTTGTTTATCTAATTCCAGTGAATAAAATTCAATTGGATAACCACATGGATTTGTTACAGTTACAATTTCTTCACTTCCCATAGATGAAAATGGTAAAGTTGGTGAAAATTGTAATAATACACGATCAAAGATTAATTGTGGCTCTAAACCTTTGCCTTGACAATGAATTTTCAAAACAGTATCGCTATTTTCAATATTCAGTAGGATTTTGGTTTCATAACGTTTTTCTTCAAGTGGAGTAAATTGAATCTGAATATGAAAATAAGAATAAATGATAGACCTAAATGCTTCAAACAATTTGAATAATAATAAGTAATAATAATAAAGATTACTTTATTGCAAGCCTGTTCCTAGTTGTGGTTGAATCGATCACCCGGAAGACAGTTAGTAGGGAGTGTGAAGATAGGAATACATTCGGACCAATGATAAGAAGGCTCTAGAAGATCTGGCTTTCGCGCATGGATGATTCATGTCTACTGTCACACGCACACACATATACTTGAAGACTTGAAGGGGAGAAAAAACAACAAACTAGCCGAAAAGCAGTGAAGGTAGAACTTCAAGTGAATATAGAAAAGACGGAGATGATGAAGGTAACCAGCATCAATCCCTGTCCATCAGAGGAATGTGAATGTGTATGTCTCCGGTCTCTTAAGCCTTCCCAAAGTCATGGTCCTGATGGTGTACCTGCCCTTGTCGTCAGGAACTGTGCTGATATTTTATGTTACCCTCTTACTAACCTTTTCAATGTTTTCTTTTTCCAGTAATGTTCTACCTTTTGCATGGAAAAACATTAAAATTATCCCTATACCAAAACCATCTTCTGGTACTGATATTAAATTTAGGCCTATTGCAATTACTTCTCCTTTTCTAAACTTGATGGAAAAATTACTTTTAACTCGTCTTGAACCTTCATTGAAACCTTTCAATGATCCTAAATAATTTGCATATAAAGATGGTGGATGTACCTTAAATGCTGCGGTTGTCGTATAGCATAATGTTGTTTCTTGTTTAGACAAGGGTGCCAAATATGTTTGTGGTGCTTTCCTAGACTACACATCTGCTTTTGACTCTGTACCTAGGGTCTTTTTATCAGATAAGCTTTCGGTGACGAAAAGGCTAAGAGTTTTCTGATATAATGCAGTATACTCTATATAATGGCAAATCTTCTTCTGCGTCGCATACAAAAGCCAGTGTTCCTCAACGTGCCGTCCTCTCTCCTTTACTTTTTTCTTTCTTCCTATATGACCTGCCTCATTTAAACGAAACTAACTTTCAGCATTTCATCATGAGCTGACATTAGTTAGAGAACCATTGGAAAACCACCAAGGAGTACTGGACAGCTGTTTCGTCCTAGTTTGGGACTCTTCAGAGGTACGCACCCACCGGGATTCGAACCCAAGACCTTCCGGTTACAAGGCAGGGTCGTATACCATTAAGCCACTGGGACCCGATCCAATGGTCCTTGAATCCTAACTTCTGCCAATTCACGACATTGGATCGGGTCCCAGTGGCTTAATGGTATACGAGCTCGCCTTGTAACCGGAAGGTCCTGGTTTCGAATCCGGGTGGGTGCGTACTACTGAAGACTACCGAACTAGGACGAAACAGCTGTCCAGTACTCCCAGCTGGTTTTCCAGTGGTTCTCTAACTAATGTCAGCTCATGATGAAATCCTGAAACCAATCAAATCCCTACAAACCAACACTTGGAAACTAACTCTGTCAAATATGCGGATGATCTGACTGTATCACTATAGTCGAGAGACACATAAATTCTTGTACAAAATGGGCAAAGGCTGTACTGCCAGAGCCCTACACCCCTTTGTTCACAACTATCCCCTTGCATCGCATCAGGTAGGACGAGAATTCAATATAAGAAGTTATATGCTCGACCCACTAAGTATAGAAATTCTACAATACCCTATTTAACTCGTATTTTATGTGATGAAGACACTGTTAGACATGAAACATATAAGTTACTATGTAATTAGCACAGTGAATCGACCTTTTCATCGTTCATCTTTCTGTAATTTTATGGTGTCACACTTTCTATCGTCTAATTAAAACTGAGAAATTTTATTTCAGTTGTTATTACTATTATTACTATAATTTTATACTTTATGCATATTTTTCTACTTATTGCATACTGTAATTTGCTACATAGCTGCTATAACAAAGTTTTGTTATTTATATTATGTAATGTTTATTTGTCTTTGTCGTTTTGAGTAAATTAGATGCAACATTGTATTGAATGCTGAAAGTTCCTTGCTGTGTTAGTAATACTGTTTTTGGAATTAAACGAAAATTATTATTATTATCTAGGAAGCGTTTTTTCAACAACAGGCGGAATGGAAGCTGGTATCAAAGCCAGAATCGGAAAGGTGAAGTACACCTTCATCAATCTAAAATCAATTCGAAAATCCTCTGCACTGAATCAGCATAAAGAATTCGATTCAGATTTTTAACACGAATGTGAATTCAGTCAGTCAATTCTTCTATATTGGTTGGAAAATTGGTGTTTGGAAAGCATTTCTAATAGGCTACTGTAGACTCTCATCAACAGCTGCTCAATTCGCTGGCTTCTACATATTGAAGATCAAATTGCCGGCTGTCTGGCTGGCTGGCCAGAAAGAACCAGCAACAATAAACTATGGGAACAAGCTAAACAAAGATCAACTACTCAATAGATAAGTCGGAGAAATGGGGATGGACTGGACATAAGCTGAGTAGACTGTTGGTTGACATCGCGCGCATTGCAGGCTATCGCTCGAGTGGAAACCGATTGAGAAACAACAAGTGAAGCGTGGATTCGAGGGTGATATGGAGGAGATAGTATGCCAATGTGATCATCGACTATGAGTGACCGTGAGGTTAGCAGAAGAGGACTGCAGATAATAGGACAGATATGCTGCACTCGGAATCCTATACAACAGTGAGAGATAATTATCATCGTTAGCAATAACTCTTATTATTTATCCATATTTATTTCACTCCCATGCATCCTTTATGGAATGTACGGCTTGGTAGGTACACGTGGAAGTGGCTAGTTTGCCAGCATGAAAAGTTATTTGAAGTGATCTTCTTAATTTCTTCGTAATTATTTCGCTTGGTATATCGCTCTGGAATTGCAGTCGTATATAAAGAGGGTTCTTGTTTACAGATGGTGAATAGTCGTTTTCCGCTTTCTTTGTCATGTCTTTCCTCACAAATTTGTCGGGATAGCTATTTTCAATCAAGGTATCATATAGAATCCTTAGTCTATCTTCAATCACTTCTTCTGAGCACATAGCTCAAACTCTGTGGCTGAGGGTCTTTATTAAATTTCTTTTGTACTGGAGAGGAAAGATGGTGTGAAAATGCGTATATTGTCCTGTCCATGTATTTTTCCTATGCAGATTTATATAGTTAAATTAATTGTAAAGCTTAGTGAAAGGTTCTCACCTGTATATTGATTTTGTCATCAGGTTCTAAAACCCCTCTATTCGGTATGACTTCAAATATGCGTAGTTGTTTATCTTTCAGTCGATTTCTTCGTGATTTATAAGCCATTCGAATAGGATAAGTCGATTCTGTAATCATTTTATTATTTTGTAATTCTGGAATACAACGATACCAACTTATTGATACTGGTGATGGATTGTGTAACTGAATTGTGAATAAACGTGCTTCACCACGTTGAACTTCACCGAAATCAATTGTATGTACATGGGATTTCAACATTGGCTTTACAATATTTGCTCTAAGCCAGATTGGTATAGAAGGACCATTCAAAACCTAAAAATTTTAATAAATTAGGATATCTTAATGTTACGTATTACCGAATCTAATGTGTTAAAGTTTAAAAGTACAGAGTGATTAGCCAACAAAATTTAAAAGCCAATAAAAAATTTCCCAGTGATTATTTTGACCGAAACTCCCTGTCCCTATTGACTTACTGACTCCTCATACGGACCCTTCAACGAAACCATGACATTAACATGACGTGACATAGTTTAAGAACAAACTATTAACGAGAAATACAATAATAGACGAATTGCGTCTGATACTTTTTATACAATAGGTAATTGTCGTGTCCCATTGGCCTACCAGATAACACTTTAGAGCGATGAGTGCTGCGTTCGAGGCGTAGTGGGAACACCAACACTCACTGAGGCTACAGGCATATCCTGCCGACTAGCCTCAAATAATCTTTCAGTAGGACGTTGCAATTCACTTCATATAACTGGTGTAATACATTGCCAATTCACTTTCTTGATTAAATCCTCTTTTCTCAGACATTTCTAAGCTGTGTTCGACAGTCAACTTGTCTATTTTCTAAAATCACTTTATTTCAAAACCCACATTCGAATCTTTTACATAAGGCTGTTAAACGTATACATATATATGAGTACATTTCACAAGTCATTATTCTTTTTCCTCGGAGATAATTAATGTACCGACTTGAAGTCCCACAATTTATCCTGTTCTTTTCATCTTGGTGCTTTTGTTTTGATGTCCTTGCCTTGGATATTCCAAAAGAAATCTGAAAACTACAGTATTATAAATCCAAGATGAATACTGAAAAATACTTGTCTAGTACGATGTCATTCAGAGGAATTCCCTAATATAAAGGTACATCCAGTAGACCAGTTTCAAAGACTGTTGGTGTGGTGAAAGCTGTCTGCAAGACAAAATTGTCGACAACAATTAACGTCAATGTTACGTCCTGAATCGGGGTCATGAGAAAAAAACAACAACAGAGCTTAACGTTGAGTAACTCAACAAGCAATCACAGCAGACTTAGTGTAGGCGGACACGATTCACAGATAGATGGCTTAACTTTCTGAGAAACGGTCACAGAGAGATAACAGAATAACCTTCAGCAAGAAAACAACCAATTAGAAGTCGTTGCTTCCCTGATAAAAATAATGCTAATAATAATGTACATAAAAATCTATTGTTATGTGTTGATTTTATCAATAAACGTTCTGTTGCCTGGAACTTGTCTTCTGTCATTACACTAGAAGAGCCGACATTGTTGTGCGTTCTCAAAATGAAATTACTTCAGAAGGGCATAAAAGTACTCAAAAGTCAGATGGGATAAAATATGCTATGCCTGTGTTAATGCAGACCAGAACAGAAATGAAGTATTAACCGAGAACCTCATAAAATATGTGTCACTACGTAAGGCCATACGTGGAAGTGGACGAAGCGAATGTAGTGTACAGACGAAAGTCTACCAAGGAGAAAAAATTAACTATACTTTACTATCAGCCTTAACCAATGTACATAAAAGTAACAAATAGGGTTAACACTAGATTCCGACTCACCTTGATAATTAACTCCGTTTGAATTAGACTTTCATCTATCTGACCTGCTTGTTTTGTATCAAAAGTAAATTCTAATTCAACTTGTTCATAATCAGGATAACCAGGTAGATGATGAATCTTGGTAATATTTGTGCTAAAGCCTAATTGTTTAGCTTTTGACAATGAGACTGTATCATAACGAAAACTAATCGGTTCACAACTTGTATTGATAGCATAAACGCTTTGCTTGACACAAGTTCCCATTATAACAACACCAAAATCAAGTAGATAATGTGGTAGGTATAGACTGAAATTGCATGGAACAACAAAGGAACAGATTATTACTAGTTAATGCCCTACTGTACGTTTTGTGTGATAAATACAAAAGCTACTACCTAACTGATTGTATGGAGATACAGTTCACTTACTTCAGCAATCTACCTTAGAATCGAGTAGTTGGGTGTTGAGCTAACGGCACTGAAAGTCAACCTCGAAGATGATGAGTAAAGGGTTGGCAAGTAATCTCACAATTCTGATATTTTTATCAATCCTCTGAAACATTGAACTTTAGGCTTTAGGCTTTCAGATTTCAGTAGCAATAGTTTTATTTATAGGGGACGTGGTTGCTAGTACCACGCCTAATCTTTCTCCTCTTTCATGGCCTACTACCAGCTAAGCTAGATTCTGGAGTGCGTTCGGAGGGAATCGAACCCGCACTACATGAGTGGCTGACAGGTATTCTACCCTTGTCCCACCGACACATAGGTGTTTAGTTTTAGTAAAACTTGTGGCTTCACAGAATTTGATTTGTTTGGTGCCGACTGAATTCCATCAGTCAGATTTGCAATGTGGCCAACATTGTAGGTAGCTCGTCAACACGGTGCCCACTGGTTTGATGATATAAGATGAGTGATAGAATTCAGTCTGCACCAAAGGAAGGGCTGGACACAGCACGCTAGTTTCTAGTGTCCATTCAAAGTACCCACCACGGTCCTACTGGAGGTCTATCGCCAGCCCGAATAGTTCAGTGGTAACATCTCTGACTGCAGAACTGAATGACACAGCTTCGAATCTCAGCAAGAATATGAGTTCTTTCAAAGATGCAGGTACGCCTTGTTGACTGGTGAGTGCCAACTAGCACGAAACCTTGGTCCAAAGCTTGGTGCCGACTGCTTCCAACCATCTAATATAGAAACGATCTTTAAAATGAACAGTATGCTTCCTAAATGACTACATTAAATCAATAAGTCTTTCGCTAGTAACAATTTGAAACAGGTAGTTCTTACAAGTGTTTCAGGACTCATATCAAGTGCTTTAATGAATGTGAATGTTATACTATCCTCATGCTTCAACAACTGTGAAATCGAATCTGAATAGTGGATTCGACTGAGTGTTCTTTCTCTATTGTTGGTCAGTAAGGATTAGTTTTGTTTTCACGAGTTGATCACAGATTGATATCAGTTAGAGAAGCATTGAAAACCAACTTGGAGTGCTGGACATCTGTTTTGTTCTACTTTAGGAATCATCGGTAGTACGCACCCACTGCCAGGGTTCGAACCCAGGACCTACCGGTGACAAGGCAAGCTAGCTCGTATACCATTCAGCCACTGGGACTCGATTCAATGAGGTTGAGCTAAATCACGAGTTGGTAAGAGTTAGAATTCGTAGACTGGCCATTGAGTCGGGTCCCAGTGGCTGAATGGTATACAAGTAACCGGAGGGTGCTGGGTTCAATCCCTGGCAGTGGGTGCATACTGCCAATGATTCCCAAACAAGGACAAAAAAGCTGTCCAGCTCTCCATGTTGGTTTCTAATGCTTGTCTAACTGATATTAATCCGTGATCAGCTCATAAAAATCAACTGTATGTGTTTACTCCTGGATCTTTTCCTTAGGAATAGAATAGGTATACTGAAAAGTCAATATGCCATAGGAAGTTTATAAACGACTCATTCAGTAAAAAACGAACTATACACTTTTAAAATTATTTTAAAAAATCCGGTAGACAGTAAATTAAAACTTCTCTGTAACATTTCGTTCAAAAGCATATTCGACGTAAGTCAGATAGTAGATTGTCAGACCAGTAGTTCAGGGGACTGTTAGCCTGAATCTTATCAGGAATCAGATTTGCATTTTACTTCAACTCACTCAATCACATACATAACCACCAGTCTTGCGATTTAAGACAACGTCGGATAGTTCAACCATCTTGAAACATTACCTGTTTAAACTTCGATCACGGACTGATATCATTAGAGAACCATTGAAAATCAGGAAGACCAGATGGCTTTTCTATCCAATAGTTTCAGACTTCTAAACAGTGCACATCCACCGCCAGGGTTCGAACCCACAGCCTTCTGGTTACAACACAAGCTTTTAGACCATTCAGTCACTGGCTAGCTGATGAATTCTAACTTCTACCGATTGGTGATGAAGGTTTGGTCGCGGAATGATAACGCTTAGAAAAATAAATCAGATTCCTACAAACATTCATTAAAAATTAGCCTGACTCTCACTAGTGACTGGTTAGACGACAAAGATGCTTGCAGTTCTAGTGAGAAGTAGTGACTAGTGGGCCCAGTCAGTCGGTAGTGAAGAGAAATACTCACCGCTGGCACTGGATGGTGATGGTCGATCTAAAATAACTACAAATTGGTAAAAGTTAGAATTCATGAACTGGCCATCGATTAGAGTTTGAATGGTTGAATGGTGGTGGTTTCGAACCTCGGCGGCGGGTGGGTTCTGTTAAGGAGTACCGACCTAGTGGGACGAAATAGCTGTCTAAAACTCCTTGATGGCTTTCAAAAGTTCCCTAACTGATATCAATCCTTGATCAAACCTCAAACAAATGAAATCCCTACAGATAAACTTATGAAAATTTCCTGTTTTTACTTCAATTTGATAATAATAACAGATGAAGACTTTTAAACGACTTAACGATGAATCGATCAAAGAATAATTTGTTGTTTGCAACAACATCGATCACGCATCGGCATTATATACGACCGCATAAATGAGACCCATCCAAACATCAAATTCACCATGGAATATCAATATAATAATGAGTTAAATTTCCTGGATCTAAATGTAGAAAGAACAAACGAAGGCAGGATCATAAAAGTCCATCTATAGAAAAGAAACCTGGACTGGGCAATATCTTTACAATAACATCTTTCATTCAATAAGCTACAAACATGGATCAGTGAAGACTTTGTACCACAGAGACAAGAAGCTATGCACACCGAACAAGATCGAAGAAGAATTAGATTTCATTGAGAAATACTTAGAAGAAAATAGATATGATTGTGTGAAATATTCCCATATTATGAATTAAAAGTCAATCTGAACGAAGAACATTCTTTTCAATAATTTCTCCTCTTCAGGTTCTTATAATTATAAAACGTGATATTTGTTGTCGTTATATTAAAGGCCAGTTGTGCGGCGGATACATTTTTTAACATAGAATAACAGATTAGTAATTATGGGGTGTCAAAATAAATAGTCATATTTGTGTGACAAACGTCGTGCTAGGCTGAAATCGATTAGAAAATATTGTAATACGGGAGACAATGGTGGTGATGAATCATAATAGAATTGTAGAGTGTGGGGTAGGAAAATTGACAAGTCAGTTCAAGATTATAAAAGGTGTCAGGTGAGTGAGTGGCTAGTACAAAGTGGTCTGTGTTAAACAGGAGGTAGTAAGACTGCAATGAGAGGTTCATAATCACATAACGAATATGTGAAATGAAACAGGTGGAGGCATCATGTATAAATGAAAATTCGATAGTATTGATGGAATGTTCGCATGAAGGGCATAAATTATGACGAATAATAACAATAACTATAATAATAATATTTATAATAATAAGCAAAGCGTCTACGGGTACGAGAACATTTAACAGATTGATTCAGCACGGGGAAATTAAGTGCATAAAAAGCTCGATCTTGTCACACTTGGTCGATACTGGACATCGAATCGAGGTCAACACAGCTTTCAGGGTTATATACCGAATTCCGAAGTCGTTATCACGTACAGTTCGCTTACGTCTCCTACACATAGCTGAAGCTGTTGCAATAAGATCATCGACTAAACCGGAACTTTGTATCCAAAAAAAAAAACGTCCCGACGCTGTTCCTACCGTGGCCAAACTTGGACTGATGATTCATCTTCTCACCACGAGTGCTCCTTCCCCTTAACCTCTTGGCTTTTTTCTTTTTTTTTACTTTCCTTATCATGACAAATATTATTATCACAATTATTTTCATTATTATTATTATTATTCATAATTTATGCCCTTCATGCGAACATTCCCTCAATACTATCGAATTTCTATTTATACGGACTTATTATTAGTGATATTATCTCTTCTCTCAATATATGCCTCCACCTGTTTCATTTCGCATATTCGTTATGTGATTATGAACCTCTCATTGCAGTCTTACTACCTCCTGTTTAACACAGACCACTTTGTACTAGCCACTCCATTCACCTGACACCTTTTATAATCTTGAGCTGATTTGTCGATTTTCCTACCCCACACTCTACAATTCTATTATGATTAATCACCACCATTGTCTCCCGTATTACAATATTTTCTAATCGATTTCAGCCTAGCACGACGTTTGTCACACAAATATGACTATTATATTTTGACACCCCATAATTACTAATCTGTTATTCTATGTTAAAAATGTATCCACCGCATAACTAACTGGCCATTATTGTAACGACGACAAATATTACGTTTTATAATTATAAGAACCTCAAGAGGAGAAATTATTGAAAAGAATATTCTTCGTTCAGAATATAGATGCCCTAAGGGATTTATACAAGAGTATAGCAGAGAAAAATAAAGGAAAGAAAAACACCTAATTGTAGACAAGAAAAAAAGTAGTACTTGTCTCCCATTCAAAGGAGATGCAGTGTCACAAAAGATTGACAAAACACTGAAAGGTGCAATAAAAAGAAGCTTCCTGGCAGCTAAGCTCATAACATTGTACAGCACTACTTCTTCTATAAGCCAATAAAAACTGGATAAATACCCTGCTGATGTCGCCTCCAACTACGTTTATGAATTAACGTGCACTTGCGGGAGCAAGTACATTGGAAGGAAGGAAAGAAGAGCTTCTATCCGGTTTTCTTAAAATATTCCAAGAAACTTGTGCCTGAAAGGAAGCAAATATTCTCAGAGTGTAATTACCAGACAAATTGTTGATATTGGACACCTCGTAGATATTTCTAAGTCCTTCAAAATATTCAGTAGACAAAAGACAGCAAATTTACTACGATTTGCTGAAGCGATTACAATCAAACGATTCCAACCAAGCAGACTTATGCATACAGAAAGAGAGTGTGATCAACCTTTCACTCTCATGGTAACTGAATTCTAATTTTGATTACATTAATTAGTCATCTAATTCAGTGATCTTAACTCACTAAACAAATTTTAATCTTATAAACTATAACCGCTTTTGTTCTTTGAGTTGCTATTTGAACCTACAAGTTAACACTGTTGTGTTAATTAATTTTTCTGTTTTCTGTTTTACCTCTATCTCTCCTTTCTACTTTGAAAACGTATAAATTGATGGTGAAGAGTTAAACTACAAATGGCAATCCTTACATTTTGGATGCGTCAATTTCATAGTATTTCTTCTCTACTACAACTTAAACATTAAAGTATGTTATTATCATCATCTATATAACCATTGAAATTTCAGATAGTGGTCTGAAGCTGATGAGAACCTGTGAAATAGAACGATGATATCATTTTATACTGCAAATTTCGTCTTCCTTTCTTTATCGAAATTTAGTGACGTCCTCAGAAGGAGAATTTCCACCTCTTTAGGAAGAACTTTCCCTGCGGCAACACTAAGAATAGTGTTCTCCAGTCGCCCGCTGATCTGCAAAAACCCAAAGGACAAGATTCCGCACATGACCACTTCTGTGTGTATATATCAGTTCACCTGTTGCTGTGGAGCCAGGTACATCGGCCGTTCAACGCGCATCCTGTCTAAAAGGGTCAAAGAACACTATCCAGCGTGGCTACAGAAAGAAATAATGGCCATATAAGGAGTGTAATAATCGAACATCTCGTCAATACTGGTCATTCCATCTCAACGAACGCCTCCTTCAAAGTAATCTACAAAGTGAAGAACAACCTTCCAAAGACAGTACGATTCCGTCTTCTTTGCATCGCAGAAGCCCAGCCATCCAGTTGGAGGAACCAGAACTATGCATACAAAAGAAAATTATCCAGCCACTTCTACTCGCATGGTAACTACTCCTTTGATGTGACCTTACTTCTGTTTGTATGCTTATTTTTCTAACTTAAAACCCTTGTGTAATTCTGTATATTATTTTGTTTTCATGTACACCCTTTGAGCACAACTCAGTCATCAAACTATTCATGCCATTACGTAACTCTTATTTAACAATCATTTATGACAACTCATCACTTTTGTTACTATCCTCTTATATGAACATCCAATTCACCTGAACTTACTCCTCTTTAACAATCGTTTTTGACAACTCATCACTTTTGTTGCTATCCTCTTATCAACATCCAATTCATCTGAACTTACTAATTGTATTTTCGTTTGACAAATTTAATGTATACACACACACACACAAAAATAACCAGATATATTTGCGATTGCACAGCTATGAAAATGAATTCGCCGAAAAGAGACTCTTCGCTGAACTACTTGTCTTCTGTCTACTAATGTTCGAATGGGAATTATTCATGAATTATCGAAATTTATCAAGGGAACCAAATATATGAAATTTTCTCATGACTTGACTAAAACTTACTTATTAAGAAGTAAAGGTTTCACAGACTGGTCAGCTTCTGTCATCATCTCGAAATAATTGTTATGTTTGATGTATATTTCATTATTTAACAACCTGCAAATATGTTCACATTCTGCATCCAACTGTAAATTTAAATCTGGTATCATTTGTAAAATATTATCAGGAATTACATGAACTAAATAATATTGATTAGATAAGATTTGTTTTAATGCTTTTGTTATACAACACATTGTATCATGCATAAATATTTCATCTAAATGTTTATTTTTAATAGAGTTTACTAATGACTGAGATCTCGATGAAAATGGTGTATGACATAAGCAAAACATTTCAGCATTTTGTTGCTTTTTCCATAATTCTAACAGTTTCATAACTTCTTGACGTAAATGACCCATTAATTTCTGCATAGTAAACTCATAGACAGAAGGATAATAATTGTGTGAACTTTCTTCTTCTTCTTCATCAACAGATTGATTTTCAATGTTCAATTCTTTTTTGTTTGTCTGTTGTACCATGTGCGCGCGCGGTAGATTTAAATTTAAATGAGCGAAATCAGCTACACCGTGTAGTTTAATACGTTTCGGTTGAAAATGTGCAATTTGAACATCAATTTCTTGCTCAAAATAACCTGGTTTAAATGAGATGTATGTGAGTCGAACAGAGTGTGATTGATCACTATTCACCTGACCATGTGATGGCTCAATTTTCAACAGACCATAATCATCATTATTTACTAAAATAGTAGTCTCGGTATTCTTAACAAACGGAAAATGCTGAGGAATATTTATGCAAAAGTCGAAAATAACCTTCCCTGTATTCATAATGTTGAATTCACATATCATTGGCTTATCCATTCGATTGAAACCCAGGTCGATTACAGTTTGATCGATTAAATAGTTGATTTCTGAAGCAGAACCTTTCAGTTCAATTTTATACTCAGGACCACCTTCAACTTCACACAGAGCAGTTACAGAAGCTTCTATATCAGCATGTCCAAAAAATGTACAACTTAGTGTAATCGATTCACCTGGACTAATTTCACCATATAAAGGGACAATATCGAATAATTCTTCTATACCCAATGGTATAATATCACCATCTTCTTCGAGGAGATGACGTAATACACTGTTTTCAGGAGTCAGTTGTTCAGGATTCAAATTTCCGACACATTTTCACCATTTGGTTTATTTACCTCACAAGGTGGAGTAACTTGAAGAGATTCGTTTTCTTGGGTACTCACGCCCATTTCTTCTGTGTGTGTACCAGAAACGTTTTCATCCTTCATTGTCGCTTTATCTTGTTCATAATTTTCATCAGGATTTACATGATGACTGCCGACAGTTTCATCCACTGCAGATGGATAAGGTTCTGTTAAACGAGCCTGTCGTTTAAATATAATGTTTGCACGATTGCCAATCAGTAGACTCCAACGAAATTTCACTGGTAAAGGACTGACATTTTTCATGATCATATGTTTTGTCATTTCTGTATAATTCAATATGCAACCGAAATCGGTGATGTCTGCTTCAAATTGAAGATTTGGAAAGTGTACTTCTCCAATCACTCGTACAGCGTCCTACAGGTGTTTTTATTCAGTTAAAATGTACAAATAAATATAAGTGAATGAAATGCATAAATGATATTATAGTAATTGGTCATTAACAGAGGTGTGAATCTACCCCTTAGTAAGTAAGTTAGTTAGCTAGTACTCTGGTCACTAAACTAATAGGCTTATCATTGCGATGCACTGTTTGAATTATAGTTCAACGGCTGGAAGCCCAAGGTGTAGGATTCTCGTGTGTTGGCATTTGTCAGCAAGGCACATTTACAACCTACAAGAGAATGATGTCACTTGTCATCTAATGCTGCATTCACAGATGCTACCAATGAATTATCCAGATTTTCAGGTATTGGTTTTTGTAGGAATTGTGTTTGATTGGTTGGAGGGCTTCGAGTGAAGCAGAAGTTAGCATTCATGGACTGGCCATTGGCTTAATGGTATACGAACTTGCCTTGTAACCACAAGGTCCCGGGATCGAACCGTGTCGCAGGATGCGTACCGGTGAAGAGTCACAAACTAGGCTAGCGAAACAGCTGTCCAGTACTTCCAGTTGGTGTTCCAGTGGTTATCTAACTGATGTCAGCTCATAATGAAACCCTCCAACCAATCATTCAGATTCATGAGTGAAACTCCTTTAGTGCTGCATTCGTTATACAGACTGATTATCTCCCAGTGACCACTGACGGGATATCACTTCCTTAGGGTTTAACACACAGCCAACAGACGATTGCCAAATAGGCCGAAAGCCAGATCATCAAGGGTTACAACTGTTTCATAAAAATCAAATTGTTAGGGGTTGTTTCTTCTAATTAACCAAGAGCATATAGGTTTCATACTGACATATTACTAAATTGCATGGAGGATTTAATCATGAGCTGACATCAGCTAGAGAACAACTGGAAAACTTGGGAGTACTGGACAGCTGTTTCGTCCTAGTTTGGGACTCTTCAGCAGTGCGCACCCACCGGGGTTCGAACCCAGGACCTTCTGGTTACAAGGCGAGCCCGTAGACCATTGAGCCACTGGGACCCGATCCAATGGTCCTTGAATTCTAACTTCTGCCACTTCACGACCAATACTTGAAAATTAATCTGATGCTCACTAGCGACTAGCCCTATTCAGGTAATTAACCTGGGGTTCTTGTGGGAAGCCATGACCAGTAGGGTACAGCAGGTTGAAGATGAGTCAGTAACTCATCAAAGAAGATATTGTGAAGTCGTCGTGCTATGTCATGAATTGGCAGAATTTAGAATTCATGCAGTGGCCATTGAATCGGGTCCCAGTGGCTTAATGGTCTACGAGCTCGCCTTGTAACCAGAAGGTCCTGGGTTCGAACCCCGGTGGGTGCGTACTGATGAGGAGTCCCAAACTAGGACAAAACAGCTGTCCAGTACTCCCAGGTTTTCCAGTGGTTCTCTAACTGATGTCAGCTCATGGCGAAATCCTCCATGCAATCAAACAAAATCCCTACAAAACCAATACTTGAAAATATTACTAAATGCTTATAAGTAGTAAGCTACTAAACGGAAAATGAGAAACAGAAGGGATCAGTCTTTATCTCTCATCTTGTCTATGCTATGATACCTGTTACGCGTTAATCAAAATATAGCAAAGTAAATCAATTCAAATTTTATTTAATTTGTAACAGATAGAAGATATTGTGTTAAATAACTATCCTATAAAATTCATTAGGAATTTCAAAAAAAGTCAGAATCAAATTAAAAATATTGGTGAAACTAATAATGATAGCCTGTCTCAATAAAGCAGGAATTAGAGTGGCATTTAAACCTATAAAATCATTCAGGGGGGCAAAACTCTGTAGGTTAAATGACCCTGTCGGTTAACCCAATTAGACAAAATAATATAATTTACAAAATACCTTGCGATGGCTGTGAGTTAAGTCAACTAAATAGGTCAAACTAGTAAATTAGGAGTAGTGAAATTATCAGAACATAAGAATTTAGCTAAGATAAGAATGATTGACCCCACCCGCGAAGATCAGTAATTCAAGGAAAGCTCAGCTATTGCACTGCGCGCATTAACACACAACCATACAGTAGGGTGGGTGGGACAGGGTAAAAATTCTAAGAAGTAATATAGATAAGTGGAGAGGGAGAGAGAGACTGATCACTGGATCCTGGTTCATCAAGTCTACACTCAACACATGCAATAGAAGTGACTCAACGCAAATACCGGAGATATGGAAGATATCATTACCACTAGTCGAATCACAGGAGGATAATAAACAATGTTAAAATGTATTCAATGCAGTTCACATTATAACATTCTAACAAGTTATTATTTATTTTACTATAGAAACATCTTATTTCCCATATGATTGTATTTTATTGTTGACACTAACATTATTATTTCCGAATGTACTTTATCTTATGTTGATTTTATTCAATCAAATCTCTAATGATCAATTTTACTAATGCATATAAATGAAGCAAGAAAGTTATGTGATTACTTTGATATGATTATGAGTGGCAATAAATTGTGCTCGAAACGTGGTCATCAATTAATATTACTGTGTAGTGAGAGCTGGCTGTTAGCCAAAATCGATGGACAGTAATTTACGTCAATGTTTATTTCCCCAATATATTGGTCGTGAGTAAAAATGAGAACAAAGGCTCCGCGTAGGCGGATACAGTTAACATATAGATGATCTGACATTCAAGAAACAGCCAGAAATAGATGCAGGGTTAACTTTCTATGAGAAACAACCAATCAGAGGACTGTGTTTTTCTGCTAACAATAATCTATAATATGTACATGAAATACTATAAATATGTGTTGATTTCCTTATTAAATGATCTGTTGCCTGGCCCTTGTCTTCTGTTGTTACAACTGTACAACACTGTGTGATTTATCAAAATAAAATCTTATCCATAATGGAGTTATACTCCAACTTCTATCCAGTTTTCTCAGTGTATTCTAAAATATTTATACTCAAAGGGAGGCAAATAATAGTGAAATTCAATGAATGACCAGACACCTTACGGAACCGGAACATTCCATGGATATCAATAAATCTTTCAAAATATTGAATATGCTGAGGACACTGAATTTACGACAATCAAACATTTTCAAGCAGACTTATACACACACATATATACACAAAGAGAGTGTGATCAGTTTCTTATCACCCTGGCAACTGTATCAAGATTTTGATCACATTGATTGAATAAATATGCATATTAGTGGTTTTATCTTACTAAGCAGATTTTGGTGTTATGAAGTAAAATTGTCTTCAGTTATTACATAACCTTATGACCTTAAAATGCTTATTATTCCTTCTGTTTATTGTCTTCTCTTCCTCTTCGGTTTTTTTCTCTTTTTTTGGTTTGCAACGCATATAAATTTATGATGACATGAACTAAAAATTGTGATGCTCACATTTTGGATGCCTTAATTTACAGTCTGATGCTCGCTAGTGACTTGTTACAAGACAAAGTTTCCTGGAGTTCTAATGAGAAGTCTTGACCAGTGAGGTCCATCCAGTTGGAAGTGAGGATGGAGTTCTGTTATGTACTCGTCGCTAAATTATTGTTATGGTCTGGTCGAGAATTTAATAGTCCTGACGCAAGAAGGCGGAAATCAGAAGACCACTAGGTTTGCGATGATATTTCTATTTTCCAAACACAAGTAGAAGCAATAAGTGGTATCACACCAAAGTAGTAAGTCACACAAATTGTGAGAACGAAATATATATATGACAAGGGTGTGAACAATCATTAGACAGTCTTAACATGAATGGCTAATTATAATGAAGTATCGATCCATATATACATAGCAAAATATAGCAGACATGTCAACAACAACCACATATGGATATATGTCACCAAGCAACGGACTGTCAACAAACACTCCTATTATATATAATATAAGGGGAATATACATTGTTAAAGGAGACAAGTTCATACAAGTGAAATGGTCACAGACTAAGCGAGAAAACAGAAAGAGAGACCAACATACACACACACATAAATATATATATGTGGATACATATCAAGTTCCCACCGATGGATGACATTGGTTGGTGGTCGCGCTAAATCACGAATTGGTGGAAGTTAGGATTCATGATCTGGCCATTGAATCGGGTCCCAGTGGGTGAATGGTATATGAGCTAGCTTGCCTTGTAACCAGAAGGTTGTGGGTTCGAACCCTTGTGGTGGGTGCCTACTGATGATGATTCCCAAACAACTGTCCAGTACTTCCTAGTTTTCACTTGTGCTCTAGCTGATATCAATCCGTGGTCAAAGTTTTATAAACATTTTGTCTGCTTTCATCACAGTATTGAAATATGAAATATATAAATACACGAATGTACAGCTCTATCTAGTTGATGACTTCGTGGAAATGAAAAATTTTTTTTATTGCAACCGTCTTTTTGATGGGCATTTCTTGATATACGTAAACTTAGTTTTTTTAGCCTTGCATGTAACACTACAGTCATTTCTTTTTCATTGTTACTGAGTTCTCTTTAATATTTTCTCAATTCAAAGTATATTGATAAACACATCGGAGAGAATAGTTTAGTTGCAAGTCTTTTTTCTGCTGAGTACATTTACATCGCTTAGGATATGAATGATCCTCTGAGTTATTTTTTTGTCATACATGGACAAGGAAACTTCGCATAATTATGGCTATCCATAATTTCCACAGGTTGAGCGGCTGAAAAAGAAAGAGCACTAATGTTGCTTGACTAAAGAGTCTCGTGAAAATCTGAATAACAGTGGCCTCACAAAGGCTTGTTTGAAGTGGCTTCCAGCTGCTGGTCACTGCGAGTTAGCTCGGGATCCACCTTTTTTAAAAAACAGCGCCACCTCTGCAAAAGAGGAGACACAGTGTTTATGCTTACCAAAAATTATACATAAGTGCGATTGTATGACTATGCAAATGAACTTAGAAGAAACGGACTATTCACTGAAATAGTTTTTCTCCTCCCCTTACTGTCTTAATGAGTATTTCTGTCATAAAAGTGTATTTCTATCACTTACCGTTTGTGGATGTTCAGCATATTTGATAAATAATAGTTCATCAGCTCTTCGACTGATTAAATCATCCTTATAGATTGGATTGAATGCAACTGTAATTTCTTTAGATTCAAGCGGATTCATTTGAAAAGTCTGAAAAATAAGTAATTTATTAAGTAAATTATTAGTGAAATTATCTGAGATAGCCTTGAATTAGCAGAATATTCTTTTAGTCGAATTAGTGATGACTGAAGGTGGGTGGCGGTAAGATACGAACCAAACTGGCAGTTCCAAATATGACCCTGATTTTCATTTCATTTGGCATATTCCAATTTAACGTAAAAATAAATAATGACTGACACCCGTTGTCTCTCAGAGGCTTAGTGGATAATGCTTTGATATTTGGAATACTGGGCTCTGAATTTGAGTCTTATTGGTGGCACTACCAATCTCTAAGGATCCAGGCATGATATCCGTCAGACAAGACGAATTTCATATCCTGGATCCCACTACTAGTCACCATAATCCAGAATGAATATTGTTTACTGATGGTGACTTGAGAGATGACAGGTTTTACATCGATTTAAAGGGTTTAAGTGACGAGGCAATCAACGAGACTATAACAGAATTATTCACTTTATTAAAGATCTTTCTCAGAATCGGATAATTTGTGTAAGTTTCTTACCTTCTAACGCTATCTAAAATGTCAACTATTAGCGATATACATGTATTGAAGCATTCTTTTGTTTTGTCTAGGATTTATGTGATAGTGCTTTTAGCGTCAAAAAAGACGCGAACGTAGCATTTATAACTCTGAATGCTATAGAGCTAGCTATCTGCTTCTGAATATGAAACTAATGATAATAACTTTAAAACAATTAGTCCTTTTTGATAAATTTGGATAGTGTTATTAGAGGACGGAGATTACTTGAAAAATGTGCCTTGTGTTGAGAACTTGTCTCTTGATTTAATTTCTAAATTACCCTTCTATAGGAGATATGTATATGATATCATTTTGATATATGACGATCATGAAGATGCGAGTTGTCTATCAGATAGACTTAACTCTGTACAGAATCGTATAAGTCTTGCATGCGAGGAAGAAAGTCGCAACCAGCTTGCATTTTTAGACATACTTCTGAATCGAAGAGATGATGGTTCAATAAGACGATCAATCTACAGAAAGTCCAATTGGACAGGGCAATACCTTAGTTTTCACAGTTTCTGTCCATTACAGTATAAAAGAGGTTTGGTGAAATGTCTATTTAAGAGGATTCAACGTATTTGCACGGCTGATGTTATAGAGAAAGGAAATGAAATATTGATGGATACTCTTGTTGAAAACGGATATCCTTTAAGATTTTTAAACAGGTGTAGAAGTAAATTAGTCTCTTTAAACCTACAACCTATACCGCCACTAAGAAAATGTTTTCATCAAATTACCATATAACGGGGAAGTGAACAGTAGGATTTTGAAACAAAGGTTGAATTCGGTAATCCGTAGAACCTATTAGGTAGCTCGGCTTGTAATTGTCGAAAAAGCCAAAAATATCCTCCACTGCAGACCTCAAGGGTTCACAAGTGATTATGTCACATCCCACACCATCTACCAATTTTCGTGTGTGCTTGTGTAGACACACATACATAGGGAGGAGTAATCTCACTTTGTATGTGAGGGTGGGAGAGCACATCCCGAAATGGTTAGAAAAACAAATGAATTGTGGAAAACTACTAGACACAGGTGTCAGACTACCAACTTCATCTATAGCTAAACATCTAATCGAGATGAACCATCAGATTGATGTTAACCCAGTTCTTAAGATCATCTATACAAAATGGTGAAGGGCGCTTATTGAAATGCGCTGAGGCTATAGCTATTCATAAAATTAAGCCCCCCTTCCTGTGTATTCAAAAATAGTTTATTATTAATATTCACCTACCTTGGTAATCCTTATTTGATTGGATTACCTAACGTTGTGTTATTCATTCACGTATATCGACTTGACAAGTAAATATGTGATCAGATTGTTCGAAATGTATAGCGCAAATACATCACATGTTTCAGATAATTTCCGTCTTCTAATAACACTATCCAAATAATAGGTTTATTCTAGACACTGTGTTAACACACAGTACAGAATTTCCAGCGTAATTAAATAGCAAAATATCTACTCATCATAGAGAATCTTCAAGTAAAATGGTATTCGACAGTACATCGTATGATACTGTATGGTTGCTCCTTCTGAAGCTGAATCTTAGTCTACTCGATATTTTTCCCTCATTTCTCTAATCTCTCTAGCTACACTACAACAAAATTAAAACTGTGTGCCAGTTGATGCATTGATCCAGAACTCCAGCTCAACAATTTCAACAATAAAAAGTGGAGAATAGTTTATACTTTATACCGAATAGTAATCTAGGTAGCCCAGTAATTTAATCAGGCCTCCAGATTGTAATAAGTAGTTAGGTGTCTTGAATGAAAATCAGAAAGTTAGTACATCAAAAATGGAAACGTTTATTCGTCAAAATTCTGAATAAGGATAAAAGACCAAAAAGAATATTTTGATAAAGCGATGTGTGACACCGCTATTAATAAGCCCTTTGTAGCACCTGAGAGCACCATGTAACACAAAGAAATGTTGTTATATTACCCCATACAATCAACTTGAGTGGTAGTAAGTTAAGATTTGGTTGACATTTACATCCGCTAGTTAGGCGCATACGGAGCATTTAATTTCGCGTTTTTCAACTGCTAGCTGACAGTTGTTTTCAATCGTGGTCACCGACCTTATCCCTCAGCTATTCTATTATAATGCCTCTTACTATACAAGACCAAGTCTATGGAGGGGAGAATAGTTCCACTGAGACAAAACATACAGCTTACTTACAAATACCCACAGGAATGGAATCTATGATCAAAACTTCCACATTATTCCTTTTTTCAACTTACTTCACTCTCAATAAGATATATTCATTAACATATAGCAAAAGATATCAAGGCCTTATATCACCTCGCCATGTAAGTCTGTGATTCACATAGTCGAGGATCGACTGACTCACTCCGAAACCTTGCTAAGCCTTCAGTAAGGTCAATAAAGACAGAAGGTCAGGCGTAAAGCTAACAACCCCACTTCTTAGGAATAAAATCCCTGTAGCTTGAAGCCTATGTTTTACTTGGAACGTAAAAGAATTTTTTTGAAAAAAACATCTTACCATAGTTGATGTGTAATTACCATCTACGTATAAATGAAATGGACTGCATATTTCCAGTGAACAGGTTAAGATTAAGTTTACTTTATTTGTCATAGTAAATTGATTGAATTGTATTGACAGCTTATCGGATGGACCCTGAAAATCAGAAGGGAAAGAACGAGAAAAATGTGTGACTTCACAAAATAGTCGAATTCCTGTAAACCAAATCGTGGAAATTATTCTGATGCTCACTAGCAACTGAATCAATACAGAAAGTTACCTGGAGTTCTAGTGAGAAATCACGACAAGCAGGGCACACCAAATCGAGAAAGAAGACAGTTACTACCCTATGACATTGACAGGCGGTTGCACCACATATGCATTACGAACTGGTGGTGGTCATACTTCATAAGCTTTAGGAACGGGCCCCAGTGGCTGAATGGTCTATGAGGTCGCCTTGCAAACACAAAGTCCTCGAGTTCTAAACCCAGTGAGAGCTGTTGCTGAAGAGTCTCAAACTATGGCGAAACACCTGGTCTCCCAAAGGCTCTTTCACTTATCTCAACTCGTGATAAAACCAACAACTTCATAAACATTTTAAATAAAAAACTTTTATCCGGCAATATTGAACCCTGAATGTTTTACACCGTTTTACACAGATCTGACGTCCAGAATATAAAGTTCATATAAAATCAAACATTGCGGTGACTAACTAGTATTGCTGAACTACTTTCAACACGGTGATCATAATTCTGACCTCACTCTAGCTACCAAGATATGGATAACTAAATGATATCATAAAGCAGTAATTACGATCCACAAATACGTGTATAAAGATATAAAAATCTGTGAGAGAGCGATTCCATACTAACTTGTATATTAGATACATCACACGAAGAGTGAAACAGTATCACTTTTTACTGGATGACGAAGTTTTAAACACAATTTGTTGCCATTCATAGTCATGTAAATTATAACCACACAACTTCATAACTTTCATTTTATAGTTTTCTACATTCCTTCCTATTCGTAGTAGGGGTTGTAGAATTCTCCAGATGACCCTGTGGACAGGTGTTGATATATTCTTATTACACGTATTGTTTCTCAGTTGATTCGATGAATAAAACTTCCGTTGTCAATCTCTCCCTCCACCCTGCTGTTATATTAGATTTTAGAACTGTCATTTTCTCTTATTCCAGTGTACGGTTGTGCGTGATTCCTATTCTCCAGACTTCTCATTTTATTAAGATCAACTAATCTCAATTTCGCTAGGCTTTTGTGTTCCGCTAGTCTGATTGACTCTGTTATGCTAATTTGACCTATGTATTCTACCTGACAATCATTGCAAGCAGGGTATCAGATAAACTAAATAGTCTTGTTTAATTGTTCTTCATAGGATCCTTTTACCGACAAAGATTATTTCTAATTCAGTTCATGGGTAATTGAATGCCAGGTTTATTCCTGCCTGCAATGTTAAGAATTCTTCGTAAGTTTTCTGAGGTTTTCTCTTCCTTCAGAAGTACTACTGATTATTTGATGATATTAGATGGTTGGAGCCACTCAACAGGAAGCCCTATATGAACCTAGGTTTTCGGGCTAGTTGACACTCACCAGTCAGCAAGGCATATCTGCAACCTTGAAGGAACTCATGTCCTTTATGAGATTCAAACCCACGTCACCCATTGCTGAAGTCAGAGACGTTACCACTGAGCTATTCCGTCTCGCGACTGACCTCCTGTAGGACTGCAGTGGATATTTTGATTGGACACTAGTAACCATCTAATATCATCAAATCAATATCCACCGTGATGGTGAGCTACCTAGAATGGTGGCCACATTACAAACCTGACTGATAGAATTCAGTCTGCACCAACGAAAGGACTAGACACATCACACTAGTTACTAGTAACCAAACAAAACAGAATTCCCTGTTGTCGATGTCGGCATTATTATGTGCATGTTTGACATGCATGTCGTTGTTAATATTATTATTATTACTACTATTGTTAATTTCACTTTCACATTTTTCTACATACTTCTTGATTAATTTATCAGGGTAATTATTATACTTCGAAGCTTCGCTTACACGCTTCACTTCATATCTTAGATTTTCCTGGATGCTTCTTAGCTTTTGAGCCTTATTACTTACACAGCTCACCAACCTTACTGACTTAGGTTAGGATGACCGGAAATCCAAATATCGATTCGAGTGTATGGGTTTTCTGTAAGCACTAGTGTTTAACTTCCCGTCTTCTTTCTGTTTTACGCTAAAATCTAACATTGAAAGGTCCCCTTCCTGACTTTCTAATTCATAAGTCAATTGAATTTGCCTCCACCGTCGAGTTGATGTTTTCGAAAAATGTATTTATTTCTTGTCTTCTAAGTAAGATAAATGCGTCATCTATATGCATCAACCATACCATACTTTTTGGGTGGGGCTGAACGACTCAGTCGCTATATTTTCCCATCTATCCCTGAATATATCTGTCACAAATGGGGATATTGCTCATCACTTGGCAACTACCTCAGTTTGTTTGTATATTTTACCTTGGAATTGCAATGCTGTACAATTCAGGCATAGCTGCACTCCTAGCATAATGTCTTCCACTGAATTAGTTGTGTTCTTTGAGCTAATCGACTTAATTGCAAAGCTATTTTTTGCAAAATATCAACCAGGAATTCTAAAACTAAGTTTTGATGTCAACCAATTGAATAAAACAGCCATTCACTCACTCACTCACCTTTTCTACCCGATAGAATAATTCGCTGGTAGACAGTTCAATAACTGGTGTAATAAAATCAATTGTAACGTCAACTGTTTTAATTAAATATTTAGCACTTCTTCCAATAATTGAATGGCATAATATTTTATCATGAATTGTTTTAGGGCTAAAATAAAATCATACAAAATTACACAATTAGACACTTCATTGAAAGTTAAAATATACACAAGCAGCATTGTACAACTTATTGAAAACCTTTTGAATTCCCCGCTTACAGAGTATTTCTAACCGAAACATTCTACCTCTGTAAACATTTCTTCGTTTTAAAAAGAAGGTTCGACTAAGTATTGCTTATCTGGTTAGCAACAGACATCAGTACAGTCCAGAAGGCATGTTTCACCCTCTTCGGGTCTCATCAGCTAAATTTACCTGCATCACTTATGAGTGGTGACGTTCCAAGCGGGACTTGAACAGAGCCCGAATAGTTTCAGTAACAAGTGATACCTATGGTTGGCTAATTACCTTGTGAATAACGCCTTGATGTTTAGAGCGATGGGTGACGCATCTTAATCATAACGGAAACAATGTCGTTAACTGAGAATGGTGGAACATGTTGCTCCCAAATTAGATGAAATCCTCATGTAGCATTTGACAGCCAGCTATGGCAAGCTGAATAACCTAATTTCATTCATGACATTTCAGACCACCACCATATTTGTAGCCATCCACAGACAGATATGGCGATGTCGTATATTTCCAGACTTTGGGTGGTCATCACAAGAATAAATCGATGACATAACTTCTAATTTAGGTAAACTGATAGGAATCCGCTTAAAATAGTAGTCATCTTGTAATTAGATAACCTAAACTGACTGTAAAATTTTATCATCTTCTCCTTAGCCTTGTTCAGGATCCAACCGTCAACCACTCAGAATATTGATTTTCCGTGGACCTAGACGAATCGCTCACCTATCAGAGAAACCTACTTTCTACTGCCTTAGGAAGATTTGAATGTGTTCGAAAATGTATAAATACGATGTGCTTTCTCGTAATAAAACTATATTCTAACAGTCACAGGCCAGTCTTTGTCTTTTGATATTTACGTGGCTCAGTGTAGTGGAAGGTATTACGGAAGAATAGGTGTATTTAGCATTTCGGTTAAGTTTTCCACTGCGTCAGTATTGTTATTATACTAAAGCATAGATCGAATCAGTCATACCAACTGTCGATGAAATCCAATGAACTGGCAACAGGTTCATAAAAAAACGGAAATATATATTTTATATTTTTTCATTTCTTCAGAGTGGGAAAAGAAAGCATCTCACTGATAACTAACTACCAAAAGCAATATGGATGGTAAATAGATCAAAACTAGTTGACATATGCCTCTCAGTCTTCTAGTTTCATAAATTTGATGATTAAAAGTTCCAGTTCCCAGTGTGGTTCCAATCCCTGAGATCGGTGGTTTCATTTGGAAGCTTTCATTGTTTTTCTAGATGAAACCACCAATGTGATATTTAGCTCTGATAAACATGTTATTATGGAGGAACTTGAATGCTTCTTGATAACACCCTACGACTCAACGAATAAGGCAACACCGGGAATATTCGCCTTAGCTACAAAACTTGTCTACTGTTTCAGAAGTACACATCAATACATGATATAAAATAATGATAAAACTCACCTATCACACTGAACTTCTAAACAAATTTCTGCACTTGCACCAGGATTAATTTCAAAACGATGCGGTGTAATAGTCCATTTTGTTTCAGGTTTAGTTAGCGACTAATGATAAAGAAGGAGAAAAGAGGTGAGAGATAGAAGAATTATTTTAGGTTAATGTCAATTTAGTCTTTAAGTCTAAGAAATAGTATGATCCCTTTCTGCTTACTGTTCCATGGTTGATTATTCATAACTCAAATATTGAAAAAGCTTTCATTATTCTTCTAAAAGGCATCATTTATTACAAATACAGAAGATTCCACATATTCTTACATCATTGGAACGATCTAGGACTAACAAGATTCCCTTGCACTTTACTTCTAACATCATATGTTAAATTATATGAAACTAATGCAGTACATACATCTAACAAAAAAGAAAGGAAAAGGTTCGAAAGTCATCAGAGATATCTTTCTTTGATAGTGTGAAATATTCCCATATTATGAATTAAAAGTCAATCTGAACGAAGAATATTCTTTTCAGAAAGCTAGAGACCAAAGCCCAGTATACACATTTCCTTAGCTTCGTACCGATGAAATACAAACGTAATCTAATCAGGTGCTTGGCATTTGTAGCGAGGTCCATTTGTTTCGAAGACTGTATAGAGAAAGAACTCCAGGTCATCCGAGACATTCTAAGCTAGAACGGATATTCGGAGAAGTTCATTAAAGCCAACATAGGTTATAATAGTCGTAAACATGAATTGGCAACGGTGGAGAAAAAGTCTCTGTTTTTACGTCTCCAATTCAAGGGGGATACTCCTGCGGAGATTCTATCCCAACGTTTAACCAGGGCGATCAAGAAAACTTTCTATTCTGCGCGTCTGTGTCTATCCTTCACTAGCCGTCCAATGTTCACCCAGCAACTCAAAGATGCCTTACCTAACCTTAGCTCTTCTTCATGCATATACCATTTCAACTGTTCCTGTGGTTCAAGTTATATAGGGCGCACGATTAGGCAGGTTCGTCTACGGGTTCGAGAACACTTACCAGCTTGGTTCAGCAGGGGGAAAATTAAGTGCATAAAAAACTCGATCCTGTCACACCTGGTCGATACTGGACATCGCATCGATGTCAACACAGCTTTCAGAGTTATATACCGAATTCCGAAGTCGTTATCACGTACAGTTCGCTTACGTCTCCTACACATAGCTGAAGCTGTTGCAATAAGATCGACTAAACCGGAACTGTGTATCCAAAAGGAACACGTCCAGACGCTGCTCCTACCGTGGCCAACCTTGGATTGAAGATCTTTCTTCTCACCACGAGTGCTTCTTCCCCTTAACCCTCTTGGTTTTTTTTTTGTTTTTTTTGGATTTTTTTTCTTTTTAATTTGCTTATTATTATAAATATTATTATTACAGTTATTATTATTCGTCATAATTTATGCCCTTTATGCAAACATTCCCTCAATACTATCGAATTTTCATTTGTACGTACTTATTATTAGTGATATTATCTGTTTTCTCAATATATGCCTCCACCTGTTTCATTTAATATATTCGTTATCTCACCATGAACCTCTCATTCCAGTCTTACTATATCCTGCTTAACTCAGACCACTTTGTACTAGCCACTCACCTGACACCTTTTATAACCTTGAACTGATTTGTCAATTTTCCTACCCCACACTCTACAATTCCAATATCTTTCCTTGTAACCTGGTAGATATTTTTTAAATTTTAATTATCCCCTGGCATTCCGAGTGGAATATAGGGGCTTCATCAGTACATGTCAACTTTAATTGGTGGATGGTGACTAGCGGTGGAATCCAGGATGCGCATTTCGTCCTATTTGGGACTCGTCATCCGGGTGTACCTGCATTCTTCAGTGAGTGATAATGTTCTCACCACTGGGGAATGCAGGTACATCCAGATGACGAAATGCGCATCCTGGATTCCACTGCCAGTCACCATTCACCAATTAAATTCTAATTACTTGCCCAGACATCGTCGAAACATCTGCACAATAAGCTGACATGTCAACCTGAGGCTGAGCACTTCGGTCCAATCAGTCGACGGGAAAATCTAAAATTCAATTAAACATCTAATTTCTGCCGTCCTCTTCATTTGGGTCCACGATTAGACAATCTCTGAAGTCTCTTCCTCACACTATCTTCTCCATGTCACCCTCACAGCAACGAACCACTTTTCGTGTTCTATCTTTGCTAACCATGCTGGACAGTGTTGCCCAGCGTGCTTTACATGTGGATGCAAGTACGTTTAAACTAAAATTTACACTTGAAAGCTTCACAAGATAGACATGTATCTAATTTTTTTTGAGCACTGCGTGCCTGTGGCGAGCACAATGTTATTTGAAACTTTCAATGCTTGATTAATCATTCTGATGAGGTAGTCATCTATAAACCAACTAGACAGTTAGCATTTGACCTTTATATTCAAAATGATTTCACATTAATTATCTATTAGGTGATAATAACTTACCTGAGAGTCTGTATGAATTGATTTACGCAATGATTGACCTTCTATGGACCAAATTAATTGTTGTTGTCTCCTCCCTTTATTAATCACTTTGAATTGTTTTCTCATTGGATTAACACTGAATTGACAGCCTAAATTTAATGTGGATCCCATTGGTGGTTGGGTTACAATTGTACCACCTTGACCAATTGCACATAATTCAATTTTCAATGGCTTTGTATTATGTTCAATATGTATTTCTAATTGATCTTTAAATGTTATAATATCATTTAAATAAGTAGTTATATTCAAATCGATATGACCATAACCTGGAATACTGCCTGTAGATGGTTCAACTTGAAATACAGTGTCACTTCTTAGCTAATGAAATAGATGTGAAGAAAAGAAACAGAGACAACAGTTGAATTCACTGATGAACTGAGAAGTGAAAAAAATGTGATCAACACAGACGAAAATCAAATAACACTGAACATTGGTTAAAACAAAAATATTCAAATAGCCAAACACGACCAGTTCAAGTTTATTTAAATAAATTTTAAAAAAAATATTTTTCAAGAGTTGGTATATAACGAATAATTTTGTTCTTACAAGTTTGACTACGGATTGATATCAGTTAGAGAACCATTGAAAACCAGCATTGAATTGCTGGACAGCTGCTGTTTCATCCCACTAGTTTGGGAATCATCAGCAGTACGCACCCACTGCCAGGGTTCGAACTCACCACCTCCCGGCCACAAGGCAAGCTAGAATTAAAAATTAATGGGCCATTGAATTGGGTCACAGTGGCCGAGTGGTGTACGAGCTTGCCTTGTAACCGGAAGGTTGTGGATTCGAACCCTGCAGTGGGTGCGTACTGTCAAAATAGTGGAATGAAACAGCTGTCCAGTACTCTTGTGCTGGTTTTCAATGGTTCTCTAACCGATATCAATCAATCAGTGGTTAAACTCGTTAAAAAATAACCCAAAGGAAACAAAAGGAGATATTAGAAATAATGGTAACTAAATGAGTTTATCTTACCTTACTCCATGCTATCATTGCTAACAGTAATAGGGAAAAAGGAAGTTAAGCCAATTATGTAAAGGTTTATTAAAGATGAGACTAAACACTGCATGCCACTAGACAAAACAAAAAGATTATGGAAGTTTAAGCGGCAGTCTAGAACAGTCGATTTCAAAAGTCGCAGTTCTTCGTTAGGTGGACGAAAACTAAGTCTTTTCTTTGACTAACGAAACTATAAAATTCTCCTTTTGTACGGAGATAGGTTGTTTTAGATGTTTGATAACAAACCTTGATGTCAGGCGATAAAGCCTTGTGGACAGGATAACATTTGAGAGGTTACAACTCCTCGTAGAATACATGTCCATCCACACCAGAGGACTATGAACCTCATCGATGACCTACGCTCACATGTATTCACTTTGGAAAGCAACGTGGATGAGGAACTTTCGTCAGCTGAATAGTTATCTATTGATGAACGAAGAGAATGTGAAAATTATGTCGCTACAATCAATGAAAAGAGTACAGAGGAAGACAAGCTGAAACTTCAATGTACTATTGAACCAGTCTAAACCACGTCTAAACCCCCACGCGAAATCCAGAGGACAAAAATAATGTAGAAATCAAAGTCTCTGTAGTACTGTCGTATTAAAAAAGGAACGTCAAAGGTCTTACGTAGGATTCTCAATGAGGCTGGAGTTAGAGTGGCATTCAAACCAACTCAGACCCAATAGATTCAATTTAGAAAAATGATATAATTTACCAAATGCCGTATAAAGACTGTAAAGTCAGTGACATAGATCACACTAGTAGTTTGCGGTCAGTTATATTATTGGAACATAAAAATCTAGATAAATCTAGAATGACCGACTCAACGAGATATAAACACAACGCCTAAGGAATGTGGTAAAAATAGCACTCAGTGCTGCTGAATTATGCTGTGTCTTAAAAACCACCCTTATTTTGCGTTTGGAAAAAAAAAGAAAACTGCCCAGTTTCGTCTGTTCTATGTGGTTCTACTGCTCCTGTGGAGCCGGTTACATAGGACGTAAACATCACCTTGCATAATGGTTAAGTAAAGGACAAACAAAGTTGGTTCATAGGGCTATTCTATCTCATCTTGTGGATACAGGTTGATGTTAACGAGGTTTTCACAGTCATTTACTGCATACCAACTAATCTTAACTTCACCTTAAGAGTTCGCCTACTACATATCGCTGAGGCCGTTGTGATCCACATTAAGAAACCTAACTTATATGTCCAAAAGAAGCTGGCTCAGACACTTTCCTTAACTTGGCCATCAAGGTTCCAATGATCCTCAATTTAAATCAATTTTAGATTTTCCCGTAGATTGACTAAACCGAAGTGCTCAGCCTAAGGTTGTCATGTAGGCTTCTTGAGCAGATACTTCGACGATGTTTGAGCATGTAATTAGAATTTATATTTTGATTTACAGCTTGATTCCACACTGTATTTTAGGTACAAGTATGGAATTTTCAGCGTGGATATATGTAGCCTAAATTTTGCAGGCCGACCATAGATATAAGGTGTGCGTCGGCGCAGGCTCGAACCCAGGACCATGTGCATGGTCAGCGAGAGTCCTAACCACTGTGCCACCGACGTGGATGGTGACTAGGTGTGGAATCCAGGATGCGTTCGCGCGGCTCAAATCGTCTAGTGGATAACGGTTCGGCGTTTGAAACTATGGGCACTGGGTTCGAGCCTCGGTAGGAACATCATCACTCTCTGCGGAATGCAGGTGTATTCGGCTGCCGAGTCCCAAATAGGGCCAATTGTGCATGCTGGATTCCACTGCTAGTCACCATCCACCAATTAGATCGTCACATTTTTGAGGAAATTTCCTTGATTTATTTGATATTCTGTTTGCAGCAACATTTTTGCGCTCATTATAATTTATGCATCTTCAGAGAACTGTAATTCCACTGATTTTACTTGATAAATCGACATTACTTCGGCAAAAACACCAATATTGTTAATGATGGCTACTCTAGAATATTCTGTGTATATAAACATATATAACTGTAGAGTTAGAAGAGGAAATTATCGAGATAGATATTTTTTGCTCAATTTTTTTGTTTTCCTAGATGTCTGAATAGATATTTTCTCTACATTGACTATGCTAAATAACTTGGTAGAGCACGTTGACCGCTTCACTTACTTGGGAAGTACCATCAGCCAACGCCAACGGGTTGATCTCTGACGAAATCTCAGAACGGATACACAGGGCTAGTTTCGCATATGCCAGTTTACGCCGTCTCTGGAGTAAACGAGATATCCGACTATCGACCAAAGGGCGGGTGTACTGCTCATCAGTCCGCTCCGTCCTCCTTTATGGCTGTGAGACGTGGCCACTGAGAGTGGAAGACATGAAAAAGCGTGGTGAGCTGTCTTTGATCATAGGTGTTTGCGTTCTATCTCCCGTGTGAAGTGTTATAATAAGGGAAGCAATATTGAGGTTAGGCGTCAAGTTCTAGGTAAACAGGGGAGATCAATCGACGAAGTTGTGAAGTTACATAGACTGAGATGGTTAAAACATGTGTTACATATGCGTGCCTAGTCATCGCCTTCCTCGAAGAGCAATTTATTTGATGTAGGGTCAGGCTGTAAAAAAACTAGCGGCGGTCAAACAAAATCATGGCACCAGTCAATGTAATCTACAGCAATTAGTCTAAGCCACGTAGGAAGGTGTAGACTTCCTGACTGGTTGGGGTCCTTGGGACGGTAAAAACCGATGGTTGGAAACAATTGGTGACATGGCTCAAAATCGTTCTCAGTGGCCGGTGCAGACGCATCCACTCCTTGTGACTTATGATCTACGATGAAACTGTTTTGTTCTTCGTTATTACCATTTTTTGTCTCACACCTCTGTTTACTGTCTCTAATATGCATTTTTTCTACTTTCTTCTCATGCTTTGTGTGCTACATGAAGGGAGTGTGGTGACTTGAACTGGTGCACATATGTGCAAAGTTCTATGTCGAAAACAGACAGATAGATAGACAGACATAAGTAACTTGGAGAAAAGCTCAGCCATTACATTGCATTCACTTGCGTGTGATAACACAGTAGGGTGAGTGAAGTTGAAAGTGTTATAAAATAATATGGTTAGATAGATTGATAGAGAGGTTAATCGTAGAATCTTTGTTTATCGATTCAGCACCGCAAAAGTGCAGTCGAAATGATATAACGCCTTTACCGGAGATATGGAAAGTGGCAACAAACAACAGCGCAAGAGGGAGAGACAGAGAGAGAGAGAGAAAAATACACATAAATTGTGAAGCTGTGTGACTGAAATTCATTTGATTGTGTGCAATAATTTGTGCTCAAAATGTCATCCACTTGTTAATACTGCATCACACTGCGTGATATTTAAAATAAACTAATCCAATATTGAATTCCAGAGGACTCTGTTTTTAAATTTTCTAGCCCTACTCATCAAATATTTGAAGAAGCCCCACATTTAAACTAGATAACCGAAAAGTGATGATTAATTTGAGTGAAAATCGCCACTAGGTCCTAAAAAAGAACAGGTACTCAGGAGAGCGTTACTCTCTTCATTGACGTCATTCTTAAGCTGTGCAATCGTACATTCGTATAATACACTGTTTTAGGAAAAACAAGGAACATTCCTCAGTTGTGTTATTATAATTCTGACTTTTAGACATTAATCAATAGATTCGAAGAAGAAATCACATAATACAGGAACAGTAATAACGTGCTGAACGTGATTATATATGTTTATAGTAACTTATAATATCATAATATTTCTTATTTAGTGTGATTGCATGGGTGATTTCACCATGAGCTGACATCAGTTAGAGAACCAGTTGAGTATGTGGCAGTAACTCATCGAAGAAGACATTTCAAAGTGGCCGCGCTATGTCATGAATTGGCAGAGGTTAGGATTCAAGGACCATTGGATGGGGTCCCAGTGGCTCACTGGTCTACGAGCTCGCCTTGTGACTAGAAGGTCTGGGTTCGAACCCCGGTGGGTGCGTAATGCTGAAAAATCCCTAACTACAATGGAGGAAACAGCTATCGAGTACTCCTAGCTTTTCCAGCGGTTTTCTAACTGATGTCAGCGCATGGTGAAATCCCTCATGCAATCAAACAAAATTCCTACAAAACCAATACTTGAAAATCTTATTTAGTGTATTGGGACAGGGGTGAATAAGTGACCTATAGACTACGAACTTGCTATTTGACAATTTAAGTTAAGAGGCCCATTTTACTGTCCTTCTTAGACATAATGCGATACATGACTGTCCAATCTTCACCACTAAATTAACTACCAAAAAAGATCTTCTTGTGTTAATTCTATTCCAAATGAATTATGAGAAATGAAGCAGTTTGTTAATTCATGGTGGAATATTCTGAAACAGCTATTGCATCAGTAAAAGACCACCATTATAAGGTTATTTCGGATAATTTTAACACGCATGATATATAAAGAAAGGCTGCCTGGAGAAGCCCTACAATTATGGGTGAATCTTCAAAGTTTGAACAGGAGTGGTGTTATGATAGCTGATATATGACAAGTCTTGAACAATAAATAAATAAAATAGATAAACTACTAATTTGACTGCGGATTGATATCAGTTAGGGAACCACTAGGATCCAGAAGGCAGTACTGGACAGCTGCTTCATTCTAGTTTGTAACTCGTCATGAGTAATCACCCACCGGCAAGATTCGAACTCATGACCATCCGCTTACAGGTCAAGCTGGTAGACCATTCAGCCATTGGGACTCGACTCAATCGTCAGCCTATGAATTTTAACTTCTACTAATTTATATTAGTTTTAGAGCGGCTGGCACCAACTAACGTTACCCCTGGGGAGTCGTGACTGTCGGAGTCCCGACCACGTTGACGGACTCCGACAGTCACGATTTTTCACTAATTCTCATGCTTATTCTATTTTCCTGATTATATACGTGTATATATATACGTTCTTAAAAAAATGCTAACAAATGATATAAAACTGTTCTTCGGAGCACGCATATATTATTGTACCTCGTATGAGAATATTTCTTCTCATTCAGGGATACACAAGACCGAAGTTAAGTATCATATCTCCAGGTTATTCAAATACATTAGAATAAATGAATGCAAATACCATTTCCCTCATAATCCTATGTCGTCTGAATAACTCAGCAACATGCGGGTTACTTACAGTCATTCATTTACAGGATCTTTATTGGAACACCATTACTAAAGTCTGATGTTATCAAGTTTTCCCATGGATTGACACCTTGATTGATTGAAAATAGCTATCCTGACAAATTTATCAAGAAACGCATGACAAAGAAAGCGGAAAACGACTACTCACTATCCGTAAACAAGAAGCCATTTATACATATAGCTGGAATTTAAGGGCAGTATACCAAGCGAAATAGTCAGAAGGAAATTAAGAAAATCAGTTCAAAGAGCTTTTAATGCCTGGCAAACCAGCCACTTCCAATTGTATCTATCAATTCAACTGCACTTGTAGAGCGAGTTATACTGGTCGTTTCTCTAGAAATATTTCCCAGTATGGATAAGCAAAGGTGTATTAAAAATCATTAACAGTTCGATATTAGATTATCTGGTCCAAACCGGCCGGCCACAAAGTCAGCATTGAAGAATCCTTTTCTATCATCTACTGGGTATCAAACAAATCGCTGAAAACAACCGTATACCGAGTACTTCAAACAGCAGAGGTCATTGCGATTCGCGCGAAACAAACAGTGCTTTGTGTGCAAAAGAAGCAAGTCCAGCTAGGCAATACTACTGCTCTCGCCTGCCTTCAGTGGAGACTATAAATTCATGAATTCGCATTATTTTCTTTCCTAATTTCATTGTGTGATATTCATTGTATATTGTTATGTTGATGCTACTGAACTATAATTCATTGATATTATTGATTCGATGTTATTTAAACAACAGTAATGTCGTTAATAACACTAATTCATTCAGTATAATGCATATATAACTGTAGAGCCTGATGATGAAGTTATCGAAAGGAGTATTCTGTGTTCAGTAACCATTCTTTTGAAAGTTTTAATGGACGTTTCTTATCACTTAGAGAACCTTTTAAAAGCTGGACAGTGTTTATAGGAGTCCTAGTGATAAGTTATCATCAGCGGGGTCCAACCACTTGATCGAGAGTGAAGATAGTTACTCCACCCGGATAAAATTGATTGGTGCCAGTAGCTTTAAAATAACCACGAATTAATAAAGTCAGAATTTATAGGCTGCCCACTGAGTTGGGCCCCAATGTCTGAATGGTCTACGAGCTTGCCATGTAATTGGAAAGTGTTGGATTCGAACCCTAGCAGTGGGTGCTTACTATTGATGAATTCCAAACTAAGACAGAGAAGTTGTCTAGTAGTCCCGGTCTGGATTCCAATGATTCTCTAACTGATGTCCATCCGCGGGGGAATTTGAAAACAAATCAGATCTCTACAAACAGACGCTTGAAAACAAAAACTCTGATTTAAACGTACATAATATTCACAGTGTGTAACGAAATAGACTAATAACAATAATAAGAAGTCTATGGTTAAATTTTATTATAATCGTTTATATATGCCCACTTTTCACTTGGCGCCAAATTTTTTCAAATCTTGATTGCATTTTATATAAGCTGTGTAATATTCTTATCAAACAAAAGTATATATATACATATAACTATGATGTACAACTTACCATTTTAGTAGTATATACTGCATCAATACACGATTCATTTGTAATCTTCAACACTTTAATAATTGGTTGTAATACAGGAATTATTCCCCATTCTAATTTTGTTTGTTCAACATGTAGAACTGGACCTTCACCAACACAGCGTACAGGTATTTTCTATTTATATGAAAATTATAAAGGCAATTATTCTACAAATGCAGACATTTATGTATTCTTGCGAATGAATAAAATGATGAAGTTGGATGTAATCTATACATAATGTTCGTTTGAAACTACTACAGAAATCAGAATACTGTTTAACTTGCAGTATTAGGCCAAACTAAGGTATGAATAAAACGACTAAGCACATACTTGTTTGTCGACACATTTTGTTTAAAGAATTCCCGTTAGTCATTCATAATTCAAAACGGGCTGATGACATAAGATGTCTACACAAGGTAGTAAAATACATAGCGTCGGTGGCACAGCGGTAGAATGCTCGCCAACCACGCCACATGTGGTCCGGGGCTCGATCCCCAAGAACCGACGCACTCCTTCTTTACCTCGCTAAGCCAGTAATAAGACTAATAAAGAGGGAAGGTTGGGTATGAGACGAACAACGCCATTCCTTAAAAATAAAAGCATCACTGCTAACGAAACTTCAAGCCTCTAGCGTGAAGCCCTATGTTCCCCTGGGAAGGTAAGGGAATAAAATGTGTCCATTAGAGAACCATTGAAAACCAGCATTAAAGTACTGGGCAGGTGTTTCATCCTACTAGTTTGGGAATCATCGGTAGTCCGCACCCATCGCTAGGGTTCGAACACACGACCTTCCATTTTAAAAGGTAATCGCGTATACCAATCAGCCATCGGGACCCGATTCAGTGGTTCATGAATTCAACCCGTAAAAACAAAACTAATCTTTACAAAACAAATAAAAAAAACAAATATGTCCAAATTTCATTGGTGGGTAGTGACTAGCAGTGGAATCCAGGATGCGCATTTCGTTCTATTTGGGACTCGTCAGCTGGATGCACCTGCATTTCTCAGTGAGTGATGATGCCCCCAGGAACATCCAGCTGGTGAGTCCCAAATATGACGAAATGCGCACCCTGGATTCTACTGCTAGTCACCATCCACCAATTAAATACTAGCTAAATGCCCAGACATCGTCGAAGCATCTGTACAAGAAGCCGATATGTCAACCTGAGACCAAGCACTTCAGTCCAATCAGTCGACGGGAAAATCTGAAATTCAATAATGTACAAATTTCGTTTCACAATCAATATTCAAAATATATAATGTATACATATGTATAATATATATAATACATTAATATTGTTCCCTTGGATTCCCAGTAAAAAAGAGGACATCAGAACAGAACATTTCCACTTTTTCTTATTTTCAGTATTCCTCTCGAGCTGAACCCACGAATGCCACTAATCTCTCATCTCCTCTTCTCACAATCTCCTCCATATCACCGTCGGACACATGCCCCACTTGTTGTTTCTCATCCACCTTCCTTTTAAGTGAGGGCCTGTATTATACGCGATGTCATGCATCCAGAGTTTCTTGTTGTTAATTCTTTCTAGCCAGCCAGCCGGCCACTCAATCTTCAATATGGAGCCAGAGAAGGCAGTTGTTGTTGTTGTTGTTGAAAGTCTGCAACTGGCTGTTGGAAATGCTTTACATGACATGTTAACGCAGATTTCGACCTATCGAGAAGAAGTGACTGACTGACTGACTGACTTAACATTTGTGTGAAAAATCCAAACCTTGTTGTTAATGCTGAGTGTAGAAGAATGTTGAAGATGAACTCCGCCTTTCTGATTCTGGCTTTGATACCGTCATCCATTCCTTCAGTGGTTGAAAGGATGCTTTCTAGATAAGTGACAGAAGTAACATTTTTCAAATTCCCGCCACTGATGGTGATTAGTGCTGCTTATTATTGTTGGTTGGTTAGAAGCTTAGTTATGGATTCAGACAATTAATACATTTTATCTATTGTGCATTACTATGCTATCTCCTCCTTTGATTCTTATGATGAGCAGCTTCACAATGTGAACATCTCTTTCTTTCACAGGTTAATACGACTCGGTATATGGTACAGTTTGACTGAAAAAACGATAAATAAAACAATCAACTCCATTATGGATAAAAGTTTATTTCTGATTAAATCACCCAGTGTTATACCAGAGATATGGAAGACAGCATTAACAGTCAAATCAGAAGATAACAAATAATGTTGCAAATATGTTCAAACTGTGTGACACTTTATCAAAGAAAAAATTTTATCTATTATGGAGTTATATTCTATCCACAGTGCCTAAATTTCATCCTTATATCAAACAACGAACTATTTGATCTTCGAGATCTCTTGATTCAATCTGTTCTTTTTCAAAATTCATAGAAAATTCTCATTGTAACATATAGAAAATCAAAACAAGTGGGGATTCATCGAAGAGACTCTTTTCAACAACGAATTTATTATCAAGCTGAATAATCGTATATGCATGGCTTTTTTAAGAAATTATGTCCGGTGAGGGAATTGAATCATATGTGTGAATGCATAAAATAATAATAAAAGTAGTATGAAATGCAATTAAGAAGCAATAAGAATCACGATCATTGAACAACTGGTCGATACGGATCACCCTATCTCTATAGCCACCGCCTTTAAAGTCATCTACAAGACAAAAAGTAATATGCCCAAATCAATACTTACCTGACTCATCTGTTTTGCTGAAGCCTTGGGTATCGAAACAGAAACGCCAGATCTCTGTATACAGATAAAGCTCGTTCAACCCCTCCAACTTTCATGGTCTTAATCCTACTGTGCTAAAGTATAGTAATCCCCAATCATATTTTAGCTCTACCAATTTTTCATTTTTTCATTTTGTCTATTCAATTTGTATACTCTTCCTTATTTCGTCAATTGTTATTATTACTATTCTCATTCTGAATTGTCCCTAGTATTATTTAATTTGTACCACTTGTCATTCTAAATCATTTCTGTTTTGCAATATTAAATTCTATTTCATCAAATTTCACACAGTGTTGCGTAACGTTTTTATCTTTATTTCATTTGCCTACTAATCCTATAATTGCACACCCCTTCGAAGTTCTATACATACTATGAATTATTCTATATACGACATTAATTGTTTTGTCACTTGACATTCAACTATGATTGTAATTACAAACATTGTTCAGTTTTGATAATGAATTCATTGCTGAAAAGAGTCTCTTCACTGGATCACTTGTTTTGACCTTCATTTTTAAAATGCACAAATGTAGGTCTATTCATATGCGAAGTTCATCCTCACAAGTAATTAGCTAAAAAAGAAACTATCCATTTTTTTAAGATCCTTGACTATGCTGATAGTTTGCTTAAGCTAAAATCTTGCGTGTTTGAGTTTGACTGAGGACATTATTACACACTGGTATGAAGGTGCATCCACCCAAAGAGTTTTAGATTGGATGAAACACCGATTTAACTTGAGCATATCGTTAAATCATTAAAACTAGGAGCTAAAATATGAACAGAAACCCAATAATAATAAATCATCAAAGGGAAATTAACAGTAGCTCCTAGTAATGGAATGAATGAAAGCAATCAGTAACGGAGAATCGTTTAACTCTAAAGTTACTTACCAATGGATTTTCACTTATACCACAAATTTTTATGTATAATTCAGTTGTGATTAGTCCCAGGGTTTTTGCTTTAAATGTTACTGGTAGCTTAATTGAATCTGATGCCTTGATGATTCCCTGGAGAATAAAGGAAAAGAATAACTCATTAGAACTCTATTTATACTTTTATATGAGTCTTGCTAATAATGAATCAAATAGTTACAACCGATCATTTGGGCGGAATTATGGAATTCATATTTTGCAAATTGGTTAGAAGCTGACAGTCCACACAGTTCAAGTAGTGAAATTTTACCACAGTTTCCCTTGGAGACCAAGTTATTCAGATCATCACAGTTTGTGATCCGCTTGACACCATAAATGGTAATCAAAAATGCAGGACAATTTTCACCCACCAATTAACTCCTAGTTATATGCGCAGACATCATTGAAGCATCTGCACAAGAAGACGACATGTCAATCTGAGACTGAGCACTTCCGTCCAGTCAATCGACGGAAAAATCTAAAATTCAATTAAATAATTAATATGACCTGTTGCACAAGAGGTGGCTGTCGTGGTCCAAGAGGTCTAGTGGATAACGCTATGGCGTTTGAAACTATGGGTACTGGGTAAATCCGGACGACGGGCCCCAAACGGGACGAAATGCGCTTCCTGGATTCCACTGCTAGTCACCATCTATCAAGTAACTTCAAAACTACAAACCACCGATTGACTTAGATGAGCAGCTGCTCACTACGGAATTGGTTCTCTGCTCATACACAGCAACACTATGACAAATGATGTAATTCAGATTATTGATTTATTTCTTAAATTTTGTAAGAAGAGGAAATATTTAGGAACTAAATGCGCTGAAAATATCTCTCATATATTGTAATAAAGCTTTACTAGCATTATTATATGAATGGTATGTGCAGCTACTCATTTCAGTTATTCAGTAGTATATAGTTTTAAGCAGAATAATGTAGCTTCAGGTGATGTTATGTAATTTACTTCCATGTGGTTATGTTTATGTTTTCGTCCTGAGTTAAAAACATGTTTTCGGAAGTTTTCCTGAGCAGCTCTTCTCCTTATTCCAGACAACATGTTCAACGCCTACTTCAGAGTGAAATGAGCGTTAGAGATTCAGCATAAATCATTTAACCGTCTTTCCCCATGACTGTGTATTTGATTAGTTGATCCTGAAGACTTTCTTATTATTTGGAGGATTTCCCCATGAGCTAGCATCGGTTAGGGAACAGTTGAAAACCACGTGAGGGTACTAGACAGCTGTTTCGTCCCAGTTTGGGGTTCGTCATCAGTACGTACTCACAGACAGGGTTCGAACCCAGGACGTTCTGGTTACAAGGCGAAGGTGAGTACCTTAATCATCGAAGAAGACATTGCTAATGTCGTTCATAACACTGTTTCATTCATTCACTATAATGTATGTATGAATGTAGAGCCTGTTGATGAATTTATCGAAAAGAGTACTCTTTGTTCAGTATCCATACTTTCCTTTTGTTTCATTTTGCCTTCACGTGTACATTTCTGAAGTTCGGCAGCCTGAACAGCTGTACTTCAGAGCAATTTTCTATGCTGAAAACAAAATTTTAGTTAATCTATTGAACATGCAACCAACAATAATGTGATAGGTTTTGTTCATAAAATGTAATTACAAAGGTCAAATAGACCAACCACAAAATATCTTGGCGAGAAGTAATTATTATTACAGTTCGCTCATAATTGTTCAAAACTAAGAACTTTATAAGGTTATTCCAACTTTTTAATCAAATTTTTAAATCATATGCGTGTTTTATTGATTAAACAGAAAGTGTTAGTCAATTTCCTGAGTCCGGTTCTTCGTTCGGTGCATAGTGAAGTCTATCAGTCAAGTTTGTAATGTTACCACCATGTCAGGTGGCTCAACATCACTGAACACTCTGAATTGTTGTTATTGGATGGTTGGAGGCAGTTAACAGAAAATCTTGGACCTGGGTTTCGTACTTGTTGGAGTTCATTAGTCAATCACAAGTGAAATCTTAAAGGAACTCATGTCCCTATTATCCCAGTGATAACATCTCTGACAGCAGCACTAGATGACTCGAGTTTCAAATCTCAGAAAGGGCATCAGTCCCTTCAAGATTATGATATCTCATGATGACAGGCACTAAAGAGCAGAAAACATGGATCCAAGGCTTCCTGCCGATTACTTCCAACTAAGTAATAAAGTCATTTGTATTAGATGAAAAGAACAATTTCGATACAAGCCTTGTGAACTTAGTGGTCGGATTACTTGAGATCTTCAAATGTCTTTTAAGTAAAAGACAGACGTTTTATGGATCAGGTGGTGGCCGATGTTGAAATGAAAATCTTGGGCTTAGTAGGATTCTAACCGGTGGCCAGAACTTTTCCAGCTGAACTATGAGATCCAACTGTTAACTAAATCACTATTTCACCAAGGCTTTAATGGGTTGTGCAGCAGCCGTTGTGTGAAGGAATGATACGTTAATGTCAGTTTCATTTCAGTAATTATCCTCACTCACTATATCACTTACAGTCCTCCAACTAAGGACCATCTCAAGCAGTCCTGTTGTGGTGAGAGCTATAGACAAGATAAAATTGTAGACAACAATCGACGTCAATGTCTACGTCCCGAATCGGGTTCATGAGAAAAAAACAATAACAAAGCTTAACCCTGAGGAACTCCACAACCAATCTCAGCAGACTTAACGTGGGTAGATAGGATTCGCAGGAGACGGTCAAAAGCAGTACAGGATAATCTTCAACAAAATAGTAACGAATCAGAGGACGTTGCTTTTCTGCTAACAATAATGAATAATAAAAATCATAAAAATCTATAAATATCTGTTGTCTGGTCATTGTCTTCTGTCGTTTCACCATCATCATTTATAAACAATTCCCAAAATAATTTCATATGCAAACATATCTGATTTGAAATGATTAGGCTTTACCTTAGTGTCATTTGTCCAATATTGTAGTTTACTGTCACCATCATCATCAGAGTACTTTCCGACAGCGGTGTCCTTGTTAACTGGTTTATTTCTTTTATCTTTGATGCCTGTTCAACAAATTGATAACTAGCAGGTTGTGTTGATTGGTTTGTGAGTGTAAGCTGAACCACATATGGATGATTTATAAAACACCGTGTCAGATTTATATATTCTGGTGTTACAACTACATCTGGACGAATAGCTCTACAAGGAAAAGTAAAAAAACCGGAAACAATACACATTGTTTGTTTAAATAAAACTGATCATTTTAAATGTTATAATAGTATGTCAATATATTAATTGCGAGAGACGCCTGTATTGTGTGACAGTGTAAATAGGGCTGTTACATAGTATCGTGTGGTTTTAGCAATCTAACTGTTCTTTTAGACAGACTAATAAAGCACTTTGGAATAATCGAAAATACCCACTGAATCATGAAGAAAATAAAAGATAATTGAAAGTAGAAAATTTTACTTATCGATGAAATCATCTTCACAGGCTGCAGAGTCATATTAATGTTTTCATCAAAAATTTGATAAGGTTAAAATTACTACTGAATAAGAAAAAAAGTAGTCAAAATTTTTTCAGAAAATGCGAAGAAGGTGAGAAAATGTACAAAAAGAACATATGAGAGTGATAATAGTGAATTAATTATTAAAAATAAAAGCAGACCAATCACTAAAAATAAAAATAAAAAATTTGGGGGAGGTTAAGGCCATGATAGAATAAGAGACTGGACAAACGTTTTCTGTATACCGAGTTCGGAGTTGTATTGATGAATCTCCAACGCCTCCGCCATATACAAATGCCGAAACACAACACCCTTTGGACCATTCGGTCTCACATTGTAGATAATCTTGAAAGACGTCTCCAGAGTTATTAGCTCAGAGCATTTATCATTCAACATTGGTTGCTGACCTTCACTGTTTAAGTCAGCTCGTCTACCTGAAGGCTTACAATGAAACATCCACGCTATTAGGCGCGTCATTGTGCTACCTTTGTTCGTCCAGACATGACCTCTAGCTAGTTAAACAATAATCCTCGCACTACAATTTTGATGTTGAAATACATTTCATATTACGGATGGTCAGTTTGGTGTTTTGATTTGGCTTTGGTTTACGCAGAATAAATACCATAGGAGTTGGTTGGTATAAGAATTTGTGTTAATATAAGTTCTACTTCCTATAAAGATCAAGATTCCCTTATCTTTCTATTGTTTGGTTTGTAAGGATTAGTTATGCTTTACGGGTTGATCACGGATTGATATCAGTTAGAGAACCATTAAAGACCAGGGAGTACTGGACAGCTGCTGTTTCATCCTAGTTTGGGAATCATCGGCAGTACGCACCCACTGTGATTCGAACCCGGGACCTTCCGGTTACAAGGCAAGCTCGTATACCATTCAGCCACTGGGACCCGATTCAATGGCTCGTGAATTCTAACTTCTACTAATTCGTGATTTAGCGCGACCCCAACCATTGTCGTTGGTGGGACATCCATCCACACACGTGACATTTAATTGGACCTCACTGGTCACGACTTCTCACTAGAACTCAGGAAACTGCAACCTGTAGCAAGTCACTAGCGAGCATCAGATTAACTTTCTATTGTTTGGTTTGTAAGGATTAGTTGAATCGTATACGAGCTTGACTTGTAACCGGAAGGTCCCGGGTTCGAATCACAGTGGGTGCGTACTGCCGATGATTCCCAAAACTAGGATGAAACAGCAGCTGTCCAGTACTCCCTACTGGTCTTTAATGGTTCTCTAACTGATATCAATCCGTGATCAACCCGTAAAGCATAACTAATCCTTACAAACCAAACAATAGAAAGTTAATCTGATGCTCGCTAGTGACTTGCTACAGGTTGCAGTTTCCTGAGTTCTAGTGAGAAGTCGTGACCAGTGAGGTCCAATTAAATGTCACGTGTGTGGATGGATGTCCCACCAACGACAATGGTTGGGGTCGCGCTAAATCACGAATTAGTAGAAGTTAGAATTCACGAGCCATTGAATCGGGTCCCAGTGGCTGAATGGTATACGAGCTTGCCTTGTAACCGGTAGGTCCCGGGTTCGGATTCCCTTATCGCCTAAAGGTTCGTAAAGCTCACAGTCAAGTAGATCGCATGACTGGTTGTATATGTAAATCTTCAAATATCGGTTAGACGATTGTACTAGGAGCCAATATATCAATAAAGGTAGAGCAATGTGATTCAGTGTAATGACACAACAGGAAGTTAAAATTAACTTAAAACAAATAGGCGGAAACTGCTTTTCTCTGTATCTGTGAGTAAGGTTAATTATCTTTCAACCGAACGTCTTTCAGCTCTCAAAACAGTTCAGTGTGACACTTTAAGAAACACCTCACCATGCAGCTCTTGAAATTATATTCTGGTTGAAGTCTTTCTGACGGTCTGCTATGTATATGAAGGTGCATGCTGCTGCATTGAAGTCTATCTGTGGCCTAAGACTCTAGAAAACTTGGCTAAGAAATCATCACCGTTTCTCAGCCATATTCATGCTTATTACAAGAGGATGTTGAAGGTTGTCAGCAGGGTAAGCAACGTGTCACTTAAACAGCTTGTGTTAATATTCTGGTTAACAGGTACTTGGACTCATGTGAAAAATGGGCTAAATCCATTCTGTCTAACTCACACCACCACCATTCTTCATTCCCAACTCTCCCCTTGTATCTCATCAGGCAGACAGACCAGAAGCCTATATAGAAAACTATATTCCTGCACTAGTAAGTACAAAACTCAACCATACCCTACTTAGCTCGTGTTCTGTGCGATAAAGAGAGCATTAAGCGTGATACCTATAACTTATTAAATTGTCAATAGAACAACTGGGTCTCATCTTTCCAACTCATATCATTTATAGGTACAACGTTTTCTTTCTTTCCTTTCTTTTTCTCTCTTTTTTCTTTTTTCTGTTATGTGCTGCTTTGTTTCTTTCTTCCTTACAAACTCTATTTAAAACATTCTTCGTTCTCTCACACTCTGTATATTCCGACCTTTTTGTTACCGCTCACGCCAGTAAATATGCTACCATCTACTTTTCTAAAACCTCCAAACACTGTTCAATTTTGATTTTGCTACCGACATGCCAATATGTTGTTGTCATAATAAACTGGGATTTCCTTAATTTATGTGGAATTTTATTTATTGATAATGTAATAACTGGATGCAATACTGTGGTAAAAATGCTGAGAATTCCATTCTGTATCACAAGTACTGTTTTGGAATAAAGCAAATTATTATTATTATTATTATTATAATCTTCTCCCCATTGATTATAATGTAATCAAGATGTTATTAGTATAATAAGACAAAGGAGGATACTACCTTCTGTTTTCCATCGCCAACTATATTATCTTCTACTTTTCAGCGCGTGAAAGCTTGTAGTGCTAAGCAATAAAAAAGACCTGAGTGTGCATAATATCTAGAATGAGCGACCACTAGATATTGATCGTCCGCGCTAAATAAAGTTCATCAGTCAAGTTTTCAATATGATCACGTCACTAGCAGACTTTCCATTGCAGTACATTTCCAACCAATGTAAGATGATTGAAGATAGTCCGTATTAAGGCCCTAAATTAGGATTTGTGCTTATTAGAACTCATCAGTAATGGTGTATCTCCACCCTCGAGGAAATCTCATGTTCCCTAGGATATACACACCTACGATACTCGGCTTTTCAGATGGAGACATTAACACCCACCACGAATTCTACATAGACTATAATCATTAGATGGATTAATGGCTGCCGAGTTGTCAATAACACATCATTACGATTTCCTCACAGTAACTCATACTGCCATTCTAAATAACTTCCAGTGTTTCCAAAACCCTTTAAAAATACATTCATCGGAAGGATAACTTACTCAACAAATATTGGTATCCAATGCTCTTCTTTACCAACATTTACAACGTCAACAATAAGTTTATACTTTCGACAACCTAAACACTTTGGACTGAAACGTATAACTATGTTGATTGAACTCATTGCCAATAGATTTCCATTGCTTGGTGTAATCTGAAATGCTGCCAGATCAGAAGTTTCATATGAATACTGCTCCTGGATGAGTGATGTATCTACTGATTCATCACTCTTATTATTATCATTACTATTAAGTGGAATTGTATTGAGCAATTCAATTTTACTATCGACATTATCATCATGGACGACACGAAGAATAAAATCCATTGGTATAAATGAAGTATTATGCAGGATTATTGTCTTTTCTTCAGAGAAACCTTTTAACAAAAATATAGAATGTAATAGAATATGAGTATAAAAGTATGCTACATGCAAACTCCAAAAAATAGATATATTTATAGAAAGAAGAGACACAGAAACAATGAAAACTTTACATTATGGATCAAAATTTATTTTGGTAAAATAACACGGTGCTATACAGTAACATTTACTGATGACCACTTTCGAGCTACTCATAATCATATAAAGGCCCTACTCACACAACTTTCTTGCTTCATTTATATACATGAGTGAAAATTGATGATTGGACATTTGATTGAATAAAATCAATATAAGATGATAAAGTACATTCGGGAATAATAATATTAGTGTTATCAATAAAATACACTCATATGGGAAATAAGATGTTTTCATAGTAAAATAAATAAATAAATTGCTAGAATATTATAAAGTAAATTGAATTGAACACATTTTAACATTATTTATTATCCTCCTCTGATTTGACTGATGGAAGCAATATCTTCCATATCTCTGGTGTTTGCGTTGAATCATTTCTGTTGCTTGTGTTGGGTGTAGACTCGATGAACCAGGACTCAGTAATCAACCGCCTCTTTCCACCTACCAATATTACTTCTTAGAATTTTAACCCTCTCCCACCCCTATTGTGTGGTTGTGTGTTAATGCATGATGTGCGATTGCTGAGTTAGTTTCTAAGTTAACTTATCTTCGTGGATCGGGTCAATCATTCTTACCTTAGCTAAATTCTTATGTTCAGATAGTCTCACTACCCCTGATCTACTAGTTTGACCTATACAGTTCACCTAACTCACAGTCATTGCAAGGTATTTTTGGTAAATTATACTATTTTGCTTAATTGGATTAACTGACAGGGTCATTTAACTTACAGAGCTTGTCCCTGCCTGAGTGAGTTTGTAGGTTTAAATGCCGCCCTAATTTCTGCTTTATTGAGAATCCTGGGTGTGGCCTCAGATTTCCTCTCATTATATGGTATAACAATAGATGCCTTATATTCTCTCCTATTTATATTATCATTATTGGTTTCACTATTATTTTAATTTTGCTCATGACCTTTACTGATGTCCGTAATGAATTTTATAGGAAAGTCAGTTAACGCCAAAGCTTCTCTTCTCTGTTTCGTTTCATCATTATGGTATTTTTTTTGTACTACATAGAGATATTGCTCGGTTGTTTATAAACGAAGCTTTAAAGTTGTGCGAGTAGCTTGATATATGATCAGGAGCAATGAATTGTGCACGAAATGTCATCAGTAAATATTACTCTATATAACACTATGAGACTTTATAAAACAATAAATTTTATCCATAATGGAATTATACCCCACCACAATGGCAAACTGAAATCCTCATATCTGAGGAATTATGAAAAAGATGATTGCAGTGAAGGAAATTTTCTTTCCAACGAAGTCATCAACTAGACAGAGCTGTACATTCGTGTATCTATAATAAATGGGTGGGAAAGTTCCAGAATAATTTCCGGTCAAGGGTCAAATTAGTAAAATTACAATTAGTAATTAAAATCCCATAATAAACAGCGGAAGGGACGCATAAACCTCAAGCGAAGTAGCATCATAATTACTGCGAAGATTTACTCATTGTGCAAATGGGAGTTTAGAAATGTAGAAATAACAAAAACAGACAGGATATCTGGATAACAAAATCTAGTGGGATCATAACTAATGTAACGAATAATTGTTTATGTAATTAGAGATTAAATATGTAGAAATAATAAAATGACGCTACCATATTTTCATATCCGAACTTCCTGTCTAATTTGTCATTTTACCTAGGTTCCGGTGAGAAGTAGTGACCAGCGTAGTCCACCAGGTCTGGTGTGGGGACAAATACTCAACACGGATGACATTAGCTAGTACCAGTAGCACTATATCTTGCGTGAATTAGCAGAAGTTGGAATTCTTCAACTGGCCACTAGTTAGTATCCCAGTGGCTCAACGGTGTACGAGGTTGCATTGAGTCCAGAAAGTTCTGAGTTCTAACCCTGTTGGTGGGTGCGTAATGATGGAGGGTCTCATACGAGGAGGAGACTGCTGTCCCTGGTTAGTTTTCTCAACAGTTCTCTAACAGATATCGGTTTCATCATGAGCTAACATATGACAGCTCATGATGAAATCTGGTTATTTAATATACAATTACGACATTGTTATCGGAAATTAATTAGAACCATGGTCTATAAAAATGACATACCATTCTATTCTGGAATTAATCTATAGACCCATTTCAACCGCAGTGAAAGTAAATTCTATTTGATATCATCAGTTTATGATGTCTCTAGCTACAGCACTGGTTGAATGAAAGCTTCGATAAGTTAATTGAATTTTGTTGTGTTTGCAGACTTTATTTTACCGAAGACGATTCACAGTACTCTTCAGCAAGACACAAACTTTATCTAGCTGTTGTCCTCGTCAAGAGTTAGTTTGTAGGGATCTGATTTGTTTCAGGTTTAATCATGGATTGATGTCAATTATTATTATTATATTATTATTGTATCCTTTAGTTCCTAGAGGAACATAGGGCTTCAGCTGCGCACCTCCACTGCCTTCGGTTTTCTGACAACTTTTTCACCCTGCTCCAGGTCTGTCCACATGCTTTCATCTCCTCATCGCATGATCTCCTCCAAGTCACCCTCGCACTGACGACCAACTCGCCGCCTCCCTTTCGAGTTCCACTCGAGCAATGGCTTGTCTAGTGATGTCACTTGATGGTTTCCTCAGCATATGGCCAGCGATTTCACCTCCATTTCTTCCTGCCTATTTGTTTCACAATCGGTTCCTGGTTGGTTCGCTCATTGCCAGAGATCCCTGTTGCTGATCTTTTCTGACCGGCCATCTGATCTTGAGTACTGAGCGAAGACAGTTTTTAATGAAGGTTTGAAGTTTGTTTGAGATGCTCTTTATGACACGCCAAGTCTCTGATCCGTATAGTAGCACTGACTTTACATTGGAGTTGAAAATCCGGATCTTATTTTTGATGCTGAGTGGGCTGTTGACCTCCACACAGATTTGAGAGTCAATTAGAACCATTGAAAACCAGAAAGTATTGTTTCGTCCCACTTTACAACTGTTCATCAAAAGTACTCTCAGCTGCATCATGCGTTGAAATCACAAACTTCAGGTTACTTGGCCGAGCTCTCTGACCATCCAGCCAAGTGGAATGAAATCCAATGGCCCATGAATTCTAACTTCTGTCACCTAGCGATTTTATTGTGACTGCCAGCCAGTGTCATAGGAGGGTATTGGTTTTTTTAATGTAGTTGTGTTCTCTGAGCTGGATGCTTTATTTACGAAGCTTTAATTGCCCCACTAGGCAACATCTTCAGAGAATACTTCAATTTGAATTGAGGTTTTAGATTTCTCCATGAGTTTATAAATCATCTCTCCTTGTGGGTAGCCTTTAACGTGATTGGTTATTTTGTATTTTATTTTACACCCTCTAGGCTACTTGTATGGGTATTGATTGTTTCCTTGACGTGAAGTTTAACGCCTTGTATGTGAGATTTCCTTCTTATAGATTGGTCACTATTGTCTATGCCAGTGTGTGTCTATTATTAATTGGTGACTCACTGGAATACCAGGCTTCTGAAACCGTTCTCTAACATTCTTGGTGTTTTTTCCTCTGTCTAATATTTAAATGTTTGTTGTCCTGGTCGTAGTGATGTCCATGGTCGTCCGTATGCAGCGATATGAAGGAGTGGATATCATGTCTTTTGATGGTTAGTTCATATTCATATGTACAATCTTATATTTAAGTCCGAAATCAGTGTAATCACTGAGATAGTTAGTTCTCATATAAATAAATAAATTTATTCAAAGTCATTCAGTATTACCAATCAATGAATTTATGATCAATTTCACACAGATCAGTGGATTACGGTTACAATTGTGTTCTTCCTGATCCTTCATCTTTCTGTAATTTATTTCTCTCCTTAACTTTGTCATATTCAATACAGAGCCAATAATTTACGACTTATAAGCCACTGCTTTATTCACTTCCAAAGTGGTTGAAACTATCGTTAATAGATGTTAATTATTTATAATATTTGCTACACATAAGCAGCCATATATACTAGATTCTGCTTAAGTTTACTAACGTATTACTCAAAGTAGTATAAGTCGCGCTGCGGAATAAATTATATGTATTTATATATCATGAGCTGACATCAGTCAGAGAACCATTGGAAAGCCAGCTGGGAGTACTGGACATCTGTTTCGTCCGCCTAGTACGGGATCCTTCATCAGGACGCACTGTTGTCAGCTCATGATGAAATCCTCCAATCCAATTGCATTTTTGTTCAACAGATTTAATGTACGCATGCATACAAAATAACCCATATACATATATATATATATATATTTGCGATTGTACAGCTACGAAAATGAATTCGCCAAGAAGAGACTCTTCGCTGAACGATGTGTTTTGTTTTCATTAATGCCTAGATGGGGATTATTCATGAATATATATATATATATATATATATATATATATATATATATATATAAGCTGATTATAGTTCATTTTTACCGTATGATACTTGATTGAATTCCACTGATGAAACATTGAAATGAAACGTTGGTCCGACGACAGTACCACTAAAAAATCAAATCAAATGTAGACATCAAATACTATTAAATGTGATTGTTTGATGTAATTACTTAAAAATTCAATAATAGTAATAATAAAGGAAGTAACTTAATGACATTAAAAAACCCCAATTTTAAAGTGTTAGTTTCTGTAGGGATTTGATTGAGTTCCAATTTATATGATGAACCTGTTTCAGTTAAATCATTGGTGGAGGTTGGAACTGATGGGATATTGGTGTCTGTCCCAGTAAATGAATGATCAGTCAACTTACCTGCTTAAATGACACGGCTACCTAAATTTCTATTTTTAGTATTGTTCATGAACTCCTCCCCATTTCCTACTGTTTTAATCATTTAATTATGTTTGCGCGTATTTTTAACTTGATGTCAGCGCAATAAAGATCACTTCTCAAACAAATTGTGGAGTGGATTATAGTGTCGTTCAGGTGCAAAAACACTGGTATAAGTATAAAACCTGGGCACTGTGGTAGAGTATAACTTCATTATGGATAAGATTTTATTTTGATAAATCACACAGTGTTGTAGAGTAATATTAATTGATGATGTTTCGAGCACAAACTATTGCCACTCATAATCATATCAAGTTACTCACACACATGTATATAAATGAAGAAAAACAGTTGTGTGAGTAACTTGATACGATTATGAGCAATAGTTTGTGCTCGAAACGTCATCAGTCAATATAACTGTACAACACTGTGTGATTTATCAAAATAAAATCTTATCCATAATGGAAAACCACTGGGCCATGAAGATTCCTTAAGAAGAAGAGACACTTTGTACTTTAATTACGCTAAAAATTCTGTACAATGTACTATCCTATTGTGTGGAATAAATCCACTATTATTATTATTAACTCAAAGGTTGTGAATTCAATCCCTGGTAAGCTCATGGGTGCGTACTGCTGAAAAGTCCCAGACAAGGACGAAACCGCCCTCCCCTGTTTCTCTAATTTAAAGTCATCGAAATCTATATCTTAACTCAGTTAAGGGGGGGGTAATTATCGAAACCGCTGAAAAAACAACAAAAATGGAATTACATGTGTCAAATTTATTGAATTCATTACCATTTTGAATGTACTTGTGGTCATATATATATAGGGAGGACTCATCAATCTCTGCAAGTAACGGCTTCACAAGTAAATGGAATACCCAGAACCCATTATTGGTGAGAGCAGACGACCTAGCTCCTCTATTGCGAAACATATTATAGGGACAGGATATAAAACTGATGTTTCTACGCATTTTTAAACCTGCCTATAAAACTTGTTTGGAAGAGGGTATCCCAAAGTTTGTGGAAGCCCTAGTGATCAGAAAGTTTAAACCACCTTCATGCGTTCGTCACAAACAATTCGTCATCACATTTAACATTGCTTGGTGAACTTTGTTTTGATACTAGTCAGGGCAGATGTACTATTACCTCTCTTATTTGGCTTAATGATCTTCATTGTTATTTCGACCTTCACCATGTCCTTTTAAACTACCCTAAGTCTATTTTCTCACCTCTTAACTCTTTATTAACTTCATATATATATTTGGACATGATAGTGTATTGTGATCAGGCTGTTCGAAATGTGTTGCACAAATACATTACACACACGATTCTCACAAATTACATCTTCTTATTGCTTTGTCCGAATTCACTACATCTTGAAATTATGGAGTTGTCCCGGTGATGAAAGCTTCGCAAATTAACCATCCAGCTCAGAGAAGAAAACCACATCAAAATCACTACATCTTATCCTGTATGTAGGGTCAGTGTAGAGAAATCAAAGAAAGCTAAGCCTGAGGAACAGATTGGATCTGGGCGCCAAAAGACTGTATCTTTGAATTACACTACAAATAATTAAAACTGTTATCCGGCTGCCCTTATTAAATTTTAACAGTTTATACCTAGGCATTTCAAATATAGTATATATATATAATAACAAAATAGTTAAACTTGGAATTATACCTAAGCTGGAAGGAGAGGATAGAGAAGTTTCTTCTGTGTACATAAATCCGGGCTGTTCATCCGAATCATTAAAGCCTCAGCAATACAAAGTATACGAAAACTTGCCGTTTTCGGTAGGTTATTGAAGAACAATAGGCCACATGAGAATACCGGTTGTAATGTAGCAGCAGAGAATGCTCTTTTAACAGGCGCCAGCTATTCTCTTCTTGAGGTCACCTTTGAACGCCATATTCATGTATAGCATACTGAAATATTTTTTGCCTGGTGATACTTATCAGCAAGGCTAAGTGAGAAATTCCTTTGCCATCTGGGTTCCAAGTGACTTCACTAATTACTTAATTAATTTACTGGCCAAGAAGATTCCAATGAAATAATAGAAAAGATTTGTAACTCAGGTGGATGATTTGCAATTAATAGTGTTCTCTGAGCTGGTTGGTTTAATTGCGGAGCTTTCGTCGTCTTTCTGGACGACATCTTCAGCGCAGTATTTAGGATAAAGTGAAGTGATATAAATTTCTTCATGAATCAAAACACCAACAAAGAACCATCATCAAAGACGAGAAAAAAATTTATCCTACAATACATGATAAATATCTCTGAAATAACAGCTAGAATACTGAAACAGTTTGATATAGATGTAGCTCACAAGCCAGTCAAATCGCCTTATTCGATATTATGCAAACCAAAAGATCCAACAAAAAAGGGGATAAAATGAACACCATTCACAAAATAAATTGTATGAACTGTAACAGGCATTACATCGGCCAAAGTGGGCGTCCCCTTCAACTTAGAATCCAAGAACACAAATCAGCCGTGAAAAGACATGATATAAATTCTTTAGTATCAATGCATACAGACAATTATGGACATCAATTTGATTGGGATAATGTCGAAATCTTAGAGAGAGAGGAAACATCGAAAGTGCAGTAAGGGAATTCCTAGATGCCTGGTACTCAGACGAAAATGCAATTAATAAACACCTTAATATAGACGAAATATACCAACTAATAAAAAGTAAATCAGGTGACCAGAAAGTTTAAAATCCCAGTCAATAGAAAAGGGTCAATATATATCTAAAGATGGTTACCGGGAGACGCAATTATATCACTCATGAAGAAATTTAAATCATTTCACTTTATCCTAAATACTGTGCTGAAGATATCGTCCAGAAAGACGATGAAAGCTCCGCAACTAAACCAACCAGCCCAGAGAACACTATTAATTGCAAAAGATTCTAATGAATTCATTTGGTTCACTTCGATTTAGAGCAGATACCTTCTGAAAGATGTGGAAGGTAATAAACGCATTAAATAGTGCTGATTTCACCTGAAGCATCAGTTAACAGTTGAAAAAATACATTCGCATGATTAGTCCCGAACAGGACGAAAATCGCTTCGTAGATTCCACTGCTAGTCATCATAAACCAAGGAATACTAAAAGACACGGCTGAGTATACAAAAGTTACAAGCAGGTCCACTCATAACTCAATCAAATATCCATTGATGAAACAATTTCTCACCTGAATATAATCTCTTCAGCTGTTGGTGATCCATCAAATACAAACTTGAAAGTTTCATTAAATTCTCCAAGTAAATCATCACATTTAAATTCAATTTGTATAACTTGATATCCACCAGGACAGATTAAACCTTCATCTGGTGTAAAATGAAAATATTTTGCGAAACGTCGAACACACTGATTACTGACGTCTACGTCTTCAGAAGTATTAACAACAACGTCATCCTCAGGTGTGGGGATCACATTTTTTGATTGAATTGAAAACATTGTATCAATCAGTCCACTATTGGATAGAACCAGCTCATATTTATGCTTTGAACCAATAAACAATTTGCCCATATTTAAACATTTAAATGAAAATTTAATTTTTGGTCCTAAACCTTCCCCGTGTATAGTTAAACTTAGTCGTTCTGTTAATCCTTCAACATCACAATAAAATATATCATGATAAGATTTAACTTTTTCAGGATTAAAGTGTAAAGTGAATTCTTGTAATGAATAGGGTTGAATACGTCCTTCAATAGGTTCGATGTTGAATGGTGAACATTCAGCTGTTTGAATACTTGTTGGATAGGGCTATATTTGAATTTAAATACAAAAAGGACAAAAAAAACAATGCGAAGTTTATGTGCAGAAAATTTCCCATGTCAATGAAGTCAGTCTGTGGTGAGAGGTGTCTGCTAGCCAAAATTGGTAGACGGCAATTTGCGTCAATGTTTTCGTCCGAAATCCTGGTTATGAGAGAAACAAGAACAAAGCATAACCTTGGGGAACTCAACAACCAATCACAGCAGACGTAGCGTGGGCGGATACGATTCGGAGATATATCAACGGACTGTTTAAGAAACGAAAACAAAGAGATGACAGAATAACCTTCAGCAACAAAACAACCAATCAGAAGACGCTGTTTCTCTGCCAACAATAGCGAATAATAATGTACATAAAATTTATAAATATCTGTTGATTTTCTCAATAAACGATCTGTTGCCTGTCCTTTGTCTTCTGTCATTACAAGTCGTAATTGTAAGTCTTACTTGTATTTCCTGAAACAATAGGGCAGGCTATTATTGAGCAATAAGGGTTTGTGATATAACCAATATAGTAACTCAGATACGGAAGAAACTACGTGGTGTACAACGGCACAACAGAATTAAAGGCTTAAGATTTAGCAACGTTAAGGTTGGTGCACCGGTGGCACACTGGTATAATGCTCGCCAATCATGCGTGTGGTCCAGGGTTCGATCCCCAGCTGACACACTCCCTTACCTCGCTAAGCCTATAAAATAATGTAACGACAGAAGACAAGGGCCAGGCAACAGTTCGTTTATTGAGAAAGTCAAGAGGTATTTGTAGATTTTTATGTACATTATTGCTAGCGGAGAAGCAACCGCTTCTGATTGGTTTTTTTTCTGCCGAAGGTTATTCTGTTATCTCTTGGTGGGAATTTCTCAGAAAATCAAGTCATATATCTGTGAATCATAGTTTCACACATTAACTCCTCTGTGATTGGCTTGTGATTTTCTCAAGGTTAGTCCTTGTTATTGTTTTTCTCATGACCCTGATTCGGGACGTGAAAAATGACGTAAATTGTTGTCTACAATTTTGGCTTTCAGCCAGCTCTCACCACAATAGAACCGGTGGAGAGGGAAGGTTGAACATTAGGCTAGCAACTCCATCCAGTAAAAACAAACACTACTGCTGCAGAAACTTCAAGCCTCTAGCTTGAAGGTGCCCTATGTTCCCCTGAGAACTCAAAGGAATAAAAAATTGTTGAGGTTGTGATCCGATCAGAAGCAAAATGGTTTATTATCCACTTGATAAGTGTGAAGGTGTCAGAAAGATAGTGACTAGTGATACATACAAAATGGAACATATGATGAGTCGTAATATTGATTTATTTACTAAAAATGGGAACGAAGAAGTAGGAAGGAGTCAAAGACGATGTTAGAATAAGAGACTGAATAAAAGGTTTCCTGTACACAAAGTCTGGTGTTGTATTAATGGATCTCCATAATCTCCACCATACAAACACAGGTAGGAAAACTTAACATTCCTCTTACCGATCGAGCATAGTTTGCATATAATTTTAAAAGAGTACTCATGTGCAGCTGTGTGGTTAGGGTCTGTAACATAGAAGGTTTAGTTAAACTACTTTGAACAAAGCAAGAACTACAGTTTTAGCAGAATAAAATGGTACCATCTTTTATTTCGTTGCCTTCTCGTCAGCTGCTTACATGGCAAAGACATTATTAAATATATCTACAACAACAATTTTAACATACAGACGGCTGAGGCGATTGGCATTCATCTGAAGAAGCCAAGCCTATGTGTACAGAAGAAATTTGTACAGCCACTTTCCCTACCGTGGCCATCGTCACAAGAATGGATAAACAGGACTGCGTCACCCTTCTCCCCCTAAACCTATAAAATTATATTTGTCTAAATTATTTATTTTATTTATTTTGACCACTTTATCTTTAATTTACGTGTTATTCTTGTAAAATTAATTTATTCTATCCATTTCACTTTTTAAATCTGTATTGATTTTCTTCGTTAACTATTAACCCATTGATACTGTTTAATTATTGTTAACAAACTTATCGCCACTTGATTGGCAAACTGTTGTATTGTAATTAAAATGCTATATATATATATATATATATATATATATATATATATATATATATATATATATATATATATATATATATATATATATATATATATATATATATATATTAGAGTAGAGCCAAAGATGAGGATCTAATTGAAAAGTAAATATTTCTTCGCTCAATCTTTCTGTTTTCTAAATGTCTAAATGGGATTTTTTTCTTTATTGATATTCAAGTGTTGGTTTGCAGAACCAGCCGCCCAGTATTCTCAGGTTTTTCAATGGTTCTGTGATCAAAGTCACCTCATGAGGAAGTCTTGTAACCAGTCCAATCCCTGTAAACCAACGGCTGATTTACAAAGTTCAGAATTAGTTTCTTCTGCTCTACTTGGTTCGTGGCAGCTAGCGATGGTTAGCAACTGTGTATAATTCAACAGAGAAATGGCTTCCATGCTGGTATACCACACTGATTAATATAAATAATTGAAAGTCACTCTCACCAACCATTAGTGCTTGCTAGCCAAATCAAAGTGATCCAAACAACAGAGATCGGCTTTACAAGGCTTTGGAAAGGGTGAATCAATCTCATTTCAAATCTTCATCATGTTCTTCAAAACAGATATGTTCAAAACTTGTCGTATTTCTCACAGCAGAAGCATCACCTGACTGCATCGGTAGCGCAGTGGTTAGGACTTTCACCGACCATGCACATGGTCCGAGGTTCGATCCACTGCCGGCGCACACCTGATATCTATGGTCAGCCTGCAAAATTTGGGCTACCGATGCCACATGCTGAAAATTCCATACGTGTACCAAAAAGTACGGTGTGGAATCAAGCTGAAATCAAAAAAGAGGAAGTGAAACAGACACATCTATTGGTAGCTTTATTTACCTATGAATGCAGCAAACCTAGTGGACTGAATACTAACGTAGTCCCAGCCACTGACTACCAATCAAAGCATCATAAGAATTTCGCGTAACTCTTCTGTACCCTCTGAGGGGCTATGTATAAACAACTCGAGGCTGTTGTTAACATGTCTACAATCATTTCTTCGGACATACTGACTCCTTGCCATCTCCCACTTTCCTCATTAATATTCATCTAATTAATCTCCGTAGCATCTATGTTTGTCTAGCATGGTGTCATCCTGTTTTAAATGCCTTTTCAAAGTGCCAGAGCTTGAGCAGATGAATTCCTACACAACAACTGGCCCAGAAGTCAATTATGAAATAATTGCTAACCTAATACTGTGAAATGTTCTTTAAAATACTGACAACTGTCTTACTGTGAGCTACAGATAGCATAACTTTGAAGTAATATTGCTACTTTTGTTTACTAGGAAATAAGTAAAAGTGTTAGTACGATTTTTCGATCTTCAGTGACTTTAAAAGTTGTTTAAGCTTCTTATGGTAAGTCGCAAATAAATTTGTTTGCATACCGTAGGTCACCAAAACGTTATTGCCGTCTGTTCATCCCCTAGTTTGCTGTCACTAGATTTTTACGGAGTTGAAGCAGTTTGAGAATTTGCGTGCTGGTGCAAAATAAAGTTAGGTAAACTGATCGGTTATCCAGTGGTAAGGTGAACAATAAATTCTATTACTGTATTCTTCAAATGTTCATTGCTGTTTATAAATACTTATCATATGACTAAAATACAAATAATTTTGCTGAATACAAATTCCTGACGTCTGTTCTCTCTGTATCGCTCTTTTTTTCCTGGAATTCGGTCATTGTGAATTACGACCAAAATCAGATGTCTTTTTATATGGCAACACTGCATATTTCTTAAGATAAAATGATCCCAGGCCTAACCATCACGGCATGTCATTCAAATAGTTAACTCACGAAATAGTTTAAAAGAAATACACGCCCACAAACAGATTGTTGCAATGGACTGCTAGGTGTTTTCCACATTTTATCGACTTTTAGCCCCCATATCACTAATTTTTTTCTTGTCATGCCGTAAAATGGTACCATTTTTGGCATATATCAGGATGGCTTATGCAGAAAGAACATTGAAATTCACCATAACTGACCATTATTATGATAGGAAATTAAATCAAGTCAAACTGATGCGACGAGTGAACTTAAAGAATTCGTTTCAAGTAAAGTTAGGACTTTAAAAATATCCATACAACTTATATATATATATTTAAAGAAACAAAGCCTAAATTTTGAATTAAGGTGGTAATTTCCCTACAAAAGTCAGCCACACTATCATTCCAATAGTTTTTAAAAAGAACTTACAATCTGTTGTTCTGAAAATTTCCTAATCCAAGTAATTAGCTTTTCCTTCATTCTTGGTTCAAAATTTCCTGTATTAGCGAAAGTTTCGATTAACGTTTCATTCACAAAAGATTCTTCGTCAGCATTTTCAAAAGGACTCCATTTGTAAGAGATAAAGTCCGAAGACTGGTTCTGAATGAATATGCTTGATTTTGCTTGTAATCCGATGAATGTATCATTCATTTTCACGCTGTCATCTTTCAGTTTTACCAAGGCCTCTATTCCTTTGCCACGGAGTTCAATTTTTAGTTTTTCACCTTTAGGAGAATCTAAATGATCAAAATGCATTACCTACCAGTATCATAAATAATGAGCATCTTTCTGCAAATATCTATTGCGTTTTCAGGAATGAAAGAGATTATGATTTCTTCAAGAGAGCCAGGTTCAATTTTCAAAACTACAGGCTCGACGAGAAAAGGTCTGAAATTAAAAACTAATGAAATTTACTTCATGATATTGATTTTCACCAAGGCTACACCATCCCCAATGTTTCTTATTCCAAGCACTCTTTTACACAGCTTTTTAACTGGAACTTCGCCGAAATCAACTTCGTCGGGTAAATCAAGAACAGCCCTTGGACCAATGCAAAATACTGGTATAGAAAATAATTCTCTGTCTGTCACACACATAAGATCATGGTGATAATCTTGGTGCGCATCTGGAGTGAAGACAACAGAATAAGAAAGAGATAAACCTGCAGCGACTTTCGACCCATGTGCACCTAAATGTTTGATTTTAAAATATGGTGTATCATTTTGTATGAGATGGGCTGTTCTTGAAACCTAAAATTTTCATTTACTGAAAGTTCTAACTACAAACCTTATCCATGTTACGAAGTAGTAGAGGCAGTTCATATGATCTCCCTGGTTCAAAACGTTGAAAGACGAGCTCAGAAGGGAAAGGTTGAAATAGTGGACGATCAACGGGGAATGAAGTTACCTTGAGAAAATGAATGTAAGGGTGAATATTACCTTTTGATCTCCAATCAGAGACATATCATGAAGTGCAAGTGTTTCAGGCACATGACCATATATTAACTGCTTATATAAATCTTCAGATGACAATGACATTTTGTATGTGAACTCTGAGGGTTTAAGCTAGTTTATTAGGAAATTTATGAATACACATTAACTCACTGGAATATTGTCATTATGTTTGTTCAGCAGAATATTCCCTGCTATTGTTCCTTTTTTGCTACATTTAGAATTTCCAAAATTATTCGGCAAATGAATGATGTCTTGAAAGTCGAAGACAAGAGAATCAGTTGTGGACATTGTAGAGTAATTTTTGAATAATGGACGTGTGTTGTTATGACAGCAGAGACGGAGGTCATTTGTCCAATGTCCAATGTCTAATATCCAGTATCTTTTCACTGGTTAGGGTTCGAATACCCAGCATCAGTTTTACGAGTTAGTCTAAACCAATTTGATTTCTTTGTGCTAGCTTCTTGATTGTGAGGTAGGGGTTCCAAGTCTTCAGTAAACTTCTGCGAATTTCGTCCTGCCACTCGACTGCCATAGCTTTGATGGACTCCAAAAGAAGTGGTGCCGGGATTAATTATGTGTTATTTTTAGTACATGGTGCGTTGCTGCTGTGAATGGAGTTGATTCTTTTAACTGTTAATTCTCTCGTATCGTCGTCAAAAGAAAAGATATAATATTAATAACATAGATAATTAACATAGGTTGTGTAGACTGAAAGACAGAAAAAGAAATAGAGGAAACGTAAAAACAAACACCCAATTGAGTTTGGATTTGATCTTTGTATACACAATTAAATAGATTTATGCATATAATGTAGTTGTTGGAGTAGTCAGGAGAGTGAGACAGCAGAGGACGTTAAGAAGTGAAACGACGAATTCAGACGTATACCCATGAATGGTGTGCGGGGTTTTAAGGAGATAGGCCTTTTGGACCCAGTCTTTGTGTCACTGCATGATTGTCCAGCCTTCCTTTAGAGCTGTCCACAGACGGCGCCGTAACTACATCTACAGGTAAGGAGGTCCAGGGATGGCGAACTAGCCATGAAAATAAGTGGGAGCGCACTCGATTCTTTGACCTCTGGTTGGCTACCCTCCTGGGATTTCCACGAAGAAGCTCAAATGTATTTAATGGCAGAACACCTTTGTCAGCCACGTCTCGTAAACCGTTAATGCCCAGCTCTTGCTACGCTCGGCTCACGCTGTTCTTGAAGTTTTCAGAAACGCTAGTATTAACGGACGAAAAACCAAAACACCGATTGCCACTCGAGAATTCTTTATTGTAACACCAACATATAAAAATGTTCACTAAGGTCTGTGAACAAATATTACAATAATAAATCACAATATTACTTCTGACGGTTTTCTGCTGACTTCTTTCTGAACAGCGACCGATGAGACGATGACTGTCGTATTGATGCCTCCGCGAAAATTGGGGAAGTTGGTTTGAGCAAACAACCATGAATTGATCGTTCAATCTTCAACTACATTGACACTCCCCGGCAAAAAAGGGATCCAACCCTTTTTTCTATCACGACCAATACACGTTGACTTGGATGCCATTGCGAGAACCTGGGTCACACGGACAGAGCTGAAATGGAAAACAAACAGAAAAGCCAACACACCACAAGCATACCACAGCACAATCTCACACATCAATGACGACCTGCGCCTCCAGTTAAAGGCATCCTCTTGCAACACAATCGCCACTTGCTAGAATGACTCTTGCAGAATGCAACGTGACCATAGCAGCACCCCATGATACTCTACGCACATCCTCTTATCTACTCACTACCAATTACCACTGAAATCGCTTGTCACTCATTCTGCCTCAGTTCTAGTAACGGTGACGTATGCGAGCCTCAGTCGTTTACACTCTTTCTCCCCGGCGTGTGGGACCACAGCTAACAATTATCTCCGTATGCATTTCATTCTCAGAAATAGCCTCCCCGGCGTATACGACCCATCTGCTGTCCTTAACATCAATCAATTCATTCACGGATGTAGAAGACAGAAACAACTTCAGAAGTAATCACGACGAAAATTTTAACAAAATTATGCAATAAAATAAGGTACGAAAACAACGAGTAAACACAATGAATCCAAAATCACAAATTGATATGACACCACACGAATACACAAACAGTACAAATAACCGCGCGATCATGTCTTGGTGGAATTCCTTTGAAGAATTTCAGGACTTACACCAGTACGCCTACAACCCTTAATAGGTTGACGATTGTAAGTTGTGGAATGTCCGGACACAAACAAGATTAACCAACAATTACAATAATTGGAACTCACAAATTATTTAACACAAACATATGTACAATCAACACATCAAAATGGTGGATTCTGCCTGACGAAATACCCTTGAAGAACTGTAGGACTTACAGCAGTACGCCTACATTCCTTCTCAGGTTGATGATCCAAGTGGAAGTCGTCCGGACACAAACAGAATTACCAACAGCTAGATGACAGATGATATCAATTCAGTATATACAATATGAACATATGTACAAAATCACACCAAGCACATTGGACTGCTCATTGATGCGCTACCCTTTGAAGAATTGTAGGACTTACAGCAGTACGCCTACAACCCTTCTCAGGTTGACGCTCTAGGTTGGAAAATCGTTGCAGAGTTCATTTGCTGACTTCCTTCTATCAGCTATATCCTCAAATCTGAACGGTAACACGCTCATGTCATTGTATCGTAGAATATAGATGACGAACAAACACACGACGTATCTGGTCAACCAAGCGTAGGCACAGAGTAATTTACACCAAAGATAATAACATTCAAATAGTAACTTGAAACTAGAAATGCCTTTATTCATGCAAGTCAATTTAACAATTACTCTCTCGTTTACACTTGGCTTATCCTCACTAAACTGAGCAATATCTTTCGTCCTTTCAAATGCACCAATACTATCATAGTCATTGCACAAGATACTTGAGTTGATGGGCGACTGTTTCATTGTGGATGACAACACCAACGACGACTGATTGACACAAGTTGATGAACTTAGCGGTGGATCAGAAGCTGTTGTTGCTCGACTTTCAGAAATTTGTCTACCTGCAAGACCACCACCACTGCTGTCTTTTACTATCAGCTCAGGTTTAGCATTAGCATCTGATGATAGGTGGGCTACATGCTGATCACTCACACTGACGGTCTCACAAGTATGTATGCCTTCTGCATTTATTTCTACTTCACGTTCAAGTTGTACAGAACCTTTGTTCAACTCAGTAGAAGTAGGCATTCCCCTCATCTCATCATGATCAACCAAAGACAACTGTGAAGTATCATGATCATTATCACGAATATTCACTTTACCGTCAACTTCATCATTTTCAAACTCTTTAATAACAGAAGTAGACAATTTTGGTTCCTCCTCGCAAATCCTAAAAGGTTTTATAACTTCACTCTGACTAGTAATACCTTGTAAACTTATGGAGTCAGAACTGCACTCTGAAGCAGTAACTCTATTCTGTGACACTCTATTCAACAATGGCTTACCAGTTGCAACTACAGACTTCTTGACCGCACCGTTATCGTCACACAATTCGGAGTCAGGCCTGGAGTTTACATTTAGCTTATCACTGAACTTGCTCACTGGTTCACAGTTCACTCTTTTATGCACCTCTTGCAAACGTGTAAAACACAACCGTGTTTGTCTTGCATCTTGTAACTTATCTGTTGAGGATGTACTACGAAACCTGTTACACTCACTAGGTCTATATGCATTACTAGACATCATGGAGCCTTCTCGATATCCACCTCTCTGAGGCCTATTCGTCATCAATGATTGCATTTTGCTCTCAGACTGCTCTATTCTAGGGGTGAGATTCAATATACTGGCGAACTTGCTCATAGATTGATTGACACTATCTTTTACTAGTTTCAGGATATCATCAAACTTTGGCTCGATACCCTCATCCTCCATACGGGAGCTTATCTTCACCCACTTCCTTTGCAGTCGAGTAGGTAGGCGTCTTGCTATTACTTCTAGTATAAAACTCGAGTTGAGGTCACTCATGCAATTCATCGAAATCAATGCATTCTTGTAAACCAACAGATTATCTAAAAACTCAGTAAGTGCCTTGGAGTCACCTTGTAGTTGATTACCATTACCCTTAACAGCCTCGAATAATTTCCCTACAATCATCGAAGGTCTTCCAAACCTTTGACGTAGTATGCTCATAGCCTCGTAGTAGCCCTCTTTTGGCTTCATAAACTTACAACACTGTATAGCTCTTGCAGCAATTCCAGTGCAATACCTCATCAAATACATTAACTTCATTTCATCATTTAAAAAAACCACTCAGCATGATCTCAAACTCCTTTACAAATTGTAAATAATCGACCGGGTTTCCATCAAAACACCGTGGTTCAAATTTAGGGAGTTTGATGTTCCTATTATCCCTGAACGGCGAAACAGTAACATCAACCATGTCATGCTTAACATCAGACACATCGTTACAATTAACAGACAAGTCAACATGACTTACTTTTCTGTTTGCATCCAAGACGCTCTGTCCCTTCTTTGACCCAGGCATTGTTGAACTTGACCCAATTCCAAAAAGTTCCAGATATTGCTTGTTCAAAGAGGACTTGACCGGCACCAAGAAAGATGAACGGTAACTATCCAATCTTTTATCAGCTATCTGAATCGGCCAGAATCTGTTTCTACCGTCAGAAACTGTCGGCCACGTCTCGTAAACCGTTAATGCCCAGCTCTTGCTACGCTCGGGCTCACGCTGTCGCTTGAAGTTTTCAGAAACGCTTAGTAATAACGGACGCAAAAACCAAAACACCGATTGGCCGCTTGAGAATTCTTTATTGTAACACCAACATATAAATCAAGCATGACTAAGGTTTCTGACGGTGGTTTAATCTTCTTTCTGAACAGCGATCGATGAGACGATGACTGTCGTATTGATGCCTCCGCGAAAATTGGGGAAGTTGGTCTTGAGCAAACAACCATGAATTGATCGTTCAATCTTCAACTACATTGACAACCTTATTTGGATGATTCTGATCATTTGTTATCTTGTAGGCTACTGCCCACCTCCGATGGTAGTTGTTGGTAGCTAGGCGCGAACAGGCCTAATTTCGCTCCTAGGCAGTCGGGGTGCAATGATATTATACAATTCAAGATGTGGTGTGCCGTATGTTTTGTACAACCTTAGAAAAAGCTCAGGAGTGAGTGCACGTTTCTACCTGTAAAGTGTATGACTGCATATGCCTCGCTACATCGCCAGTATAATTAATGTTTGTGCCCTTTATCCACTAGAACTAGACCTTATTCACGCTCCAACCTCGTGCAAGACAAGCTTTC